GCAGCGCAAAGGCGCGCGAGGAGGTCCAGCAGCGCGGCATCGAGCGGTCCAAAGAGCTCATGCGCGCGATGATCTGGGGGGGCCATTCCGTCCTCGCGACGGGGAATTTCGAGCAGCTCGGGGACTTTACCCAGGCAGAGGCGGCAGAGGCGGCGGGGCCCCCGCGCGTGCCCGTGCCGACTCGGGACTCGCTCCCCCCCCCCCCCCCCACTCGCCGTTTGCAGGTCATCCTGCGCGAGTCGGTGGAGACCGAGAAGTTCACGCAGGAGCAGTCGCTCACGAAGCTCGCCCTCTTCCTCGCCGACGCGCTGCGCGAGACGCGCAAAAACTCGAAGGAGGCCATCCCGGTCCTGATCGCAGCGCCGAAGAAGGACCGTACGCACCTCGTCGTCGCGGTGCTCGGCTCGGCGCGCTTCTGGGGCCCCAGCGGCGGGCGAAACGCGTTCGGGAAGGCCTTCCTCGAGGCAGCGCGAGACCCGCGCGTCAAGGTGCGGACGGTCCCGCGCCCGCACTCTCCTGCCCCCGTGCCCCCCCCCCTCGCCCCCCCCTCTCCGCCTATCTCCCCGCCTCGCTCTCCAGGCGCGCGTGGCGCACGAGTCCTTCGAGTCCGCCGTCTGCCGCGTCGCCTCGGACGATTTGCGCAACTTCCTCGAGGGGGTCGCCCTCAACTACGATGTCGCATAGCCCGCCATGCTCCCTACTAGAGTTCCTAAGTCTACAATAGCGTCTGACACTCTGTGAGCCCCCCTTCCCCGTGCCGCATGCGAACGTGCTCGCGGTCGTCCTGGAGGGGGCGTATTTTGAGAGCCGTCTCTCGGCAGCTCTGCTGTAAAGGATATTGTGCGTCAAGTCGGTAATTATACCTCCAGAGTGTAATTCTTTTTGCGCGCCGCTAAAATTCTTTTTGTGGCTTGGCGGGAGAGCTGGCCGCCGATCGCTCGGCCTGGCGCGCCACGTGGCGCCAGCGAGACCGCAGACCCAGACGGCAGACGCTGTGCCTGTGGAGAGGACGCAGGCGCCCGCCCGACGCCTTCTTTGCCCTGTCTTTGCCATGCCGGCGAGGGCCAGGCCGCCCTCCCCGCGCATTGCGCGCACTAAACCAGTGCGCGCATGCTTGGCGAGAACCAATGGCAATGCAGCGATGGACATCTCGCTGCAGGCGCTCGCGGGGCCGTGAGTGGGGGTCCCCACTGCTGCCCCTCTGACTATACTTTTGTCTCTGGTTATGCCTTTCCCTGAGAACGCACACAACGCCTCGTGTGTAATGCCCTGCGTTCCGCGAGTGCGTGTGCCCCGTCGTCCATGCTAGGCGGCCGGCTAGCATGTGTTACTCGCAGAGTGTGGGTAAACGAAAGTACCGTATTCGGTACTATCAAGAAAGACACCGAAAAAAGTCGCCGCGGCAGTCCACGACGAGCCAGCCTGCTGCCGGCTCGCACGGCAGCCTCTTCCTATGGACCAGCCTCGACTTCCATACAGTCAACATTTTGTCGCTGCGTGCTCGTGGTGAGCTGTGGCGGCGGTCGAAGTTCGCCCAGATTCGGTGACGAGCGCCGGACGATAGTACCGCCTCTGTTCGCCCTGTGCATGTCAGGCCAGGCTGCAGCAGGGCACTACCAACGTGCTGCCCTGTTGCAGCCTGACTTTGCCCACTGTGCACAGTCGCCAGAGCACCACCACCGCCCGGCATCGTGTCACGGCGAGCTCCTTCTGCGCCCGCTCGCGAGGCTCTCGCGCTGGCACACTTTGGCCATCTGCTGCTCGCGTTCGGCGAGCTCTTCTCCGCACTCCTGCCACGGTGCCGTCACCACACACCTTCTGGCTGGCCTGAGCCGCGCGGGGTCGCCGGCGGGGGCAACGCGTCGACCTCTCTCTCTGGCGCACCACGGGCCGCAACGGCCTGCGAGCAGCGTGCGCGAGGAGGCAGTGTGCCGGCACAGTCGAGCCGGAGCATCGGGTTCTTGATGCTTCTGGGGTCAAGTTTGACCTTATGTGGTATAATATGCAACAATAATGCTATGCTCTCACCCAGCCTTTTGAGATATGATCCCTCAAAGTCGAATTTTCGTTTACTGGTGACCATAGTACCGTTTGTCTTGTTTGCGTTTCTTCAAACGAATCCTTTAAAGTCTCGACAATCACTCAGCTGCTTATGTGGCACCGCAGAGGCTCCCTTGGGGATGCCTGAGGCCACCCCAACCACACACTAAGCCGTACGTAGACGAATTGGGCGCTACTTTTTTCGTTTACCCACATTATGCGAGTACTGACTGGCTTGGCGGGAGCTGGGAAGCACTCTCTTCTCCAACTACGCGGTGCAGTCGCCCTCCAGTGCCAGGCCCGCAAGACTGATGCCGCGGAAGCGCTCCAGGGATGGCGATGAGGATCCGGAGGCGTCCCAGCCCCCGGCTTCCCAGGCGGCGTCTCAGGCGACGCAGGCGCCCCCTTTGGAAGCCGCGGAGCTCGAGAAGCTGAGCGCTACCGCCGTCCGCTTTGTGCTGATGCGTGAGCACAGCCGCAAGCCGCTGGCGAGGACGGAGCTCAAGGAGGCCGTGCTCGGCAAGGACCGGACGGACCGTGGCGGAAAGATTATCAAGGCGGTCATCGCCGCCGCCAACGAGAAGCTGCGCCACCTCTGCGGCCTGGAGCTGGCCACCGCCAACTCGGCTGCGGACGCCGCGCCCGACGCCTCGCAAGCCGCCGGCCCATCGCAGGCGGAGGCGACGCAGGAGGCGACGCAGGAGCGGGCGGTGGGCGGTGGCGCGGCCTCCAAGCTCCTCCTCGTCAACGTGCTCCCCCGCGCAGTCGCGCCCGAGCCGGCGGACGGCAAGCTCGTCTTCTACGCGCTGGTGCGCAGCTGGCGAGTGGTGTTGGGTCGCCCGAGCAGCGCGCCCACGCGTGTCGGCCTGCGCAGGTGGAGACGGTCCTCAACCTGCTGAGCGACCACGGCGGCAGGCTGCCCGAGAGCGAGCTGACCGAGACCTGGCTCCCCAAGCTCGGACTCAAAGAGAAGGACACGCTGCCCGGCCTCGGTACCGCAAAGGCGAGCCGCCCGCCCCCGGGCTGCCGCGGCCGGCCACGCGCGCCCACCCCCACTCCGCGACCGCCCCGCGCCCCTGCCGCAGGTGTGTGACCTCATCTCGAAGCGGATGGTGACCGAGGGCTTTCTTGTCAAGACGCAAGGAGAGCCGCGCCGCTGCGAGGGCGCTGGGCGGGCCAACCCGCTGCGACACTCACCGACCCGTCCCGTGCCCAGGTGCGTATGCGCAGGGCCCGCGCGCAGTGCTCTCCCGCAGCTCCGAGGCGGCAAATACCTTCCGAGGTGAGCTCGAGGGCTGAGATTAGTCACCGCAACGCGCATTGGACCCTCGCTTGTGCCACTCGGGCCGAGATGAACGCTCTCGGGTTGCGGGAGGCGGCGGAGAGGACTGAGGAGCCACCCAAGCTTATGCGTGCCGGCCGTCCGTTTTGGTCGGAGACGCGCGCGTGTCGGAGGTGGCATCCCACTCTATGCGCGTCTCTGGAGCGCCCTGCGCACTGCGTGGCGCGCGCGCCTGTGGGCCCGGGAGCACGAGAGAGACCCCCCGAGAGTATGCCGCCGATGTGTTTACTGAATACTTTAACATGGACAACACGCGCACCACACCGGCGGCCGCAAACGTGGGAAAACGCTGTGCATCGCTCCACTCTCTCTTGACGATATATTTATTGCGAACAAAATCTGCAAAACAATTCGCATCGCAACACGTGTGTCGTTAGCCTGGTAGGTGTGTGGGCGGCCAGTTTGTGTGTGTGTGTGTGTGTGTCATCTCTCTCAAGTCTCTCTCTCTCTCTCTCTCTCTCTGTGTGTGTGTGTGTGTGTGTGTGTATGTGTGTGTGTGTGTGTGTGTGTGTGTGTACGCACGAGCCCGACGGGCTTACGCCAGCTTCTCATCGTCACCAGCCATGCCGGCCGCCACATTCCAATTGGAAGAGCCAGGGCGCAGCGCTGTGCGGTGGGCTCCCGAGAGTCGAGTGACGTTGCGGACCGGGGCTTGTGCGGCTGAGAACCGGGAGTACTTGAAGTCGGTTGCGAAAAATTCCGTCATCTTGTAGTCGTCACCGCTCCCCTCGATAGCACCTTCCGCCTGCGCCCGAGTGGTGATTTCGTGCGTCGAGCCTTGGGCCTTCCAGAGCTCGTTGTAATGGTCCACCCGGCCGTCAACGGCGATCTGGTCCCCATCGTATGACTGCCCGAGTAGACCATGTGGCGCGACCACAAAGCCGTCGTTTCGCTGCGGAGCAAGGGGGTCGCGCTGAGGCGCCAGCGAGAGGTCTATCTGCTTCTTGCCCGGCACTGTCGAGCGCCATATGAGACGTGATGAAGCCTCCAGCCGCCAGCCTGCCGTCTTCACCTTGAGCACCTCCGCTTCCTTTACTCGGAGGCAGTCTCCGAATTGGTGGATGCTGATAAAGTCGGTGGTCTTGATGTTGGAACAGAGGCTGCCGCGGGCGGAGAGCTCGTGCGAGTCTTTGGGTAATTTGCCGTGCATAAAGTAGCCACCCTCTGGTTGAGCAGTGTCAATGCCACACGCCGTCAGGGTCTCTGCCATTGTACCATCGGGTCCTGTGTCGAGGTCGAAGAAGCAGAAATCGAAAGCTGTGGGGCGGACAGGGGAAGCGTGCTCATCGATGTACGAGAGGGATGAAGGTCGTGCGGTTTGATGCGACATGGCAGTGGCAGTGCATGCGTGTGCGCGTGCGCGGGAGGGCGGGCGGGCGGGCGGGCGGGCGGGGGAGTGGGATTGCCAAAGTCAACAACTTGACCCTCGGCTGTGCCGGGTCGGACGAAGCTGTATCGGAACGTGGTGTCCATGCCCTGCAGGAGGCTGATCTGCGCAAACGTGCCGCCAGCAAAGTGGCCGTTGTCGCCAGAATTCCACGGCGTGTACTTGGTTGTGTTGGTCACGACGATGTCGATCTCCGCCGCCGGGGCCAGGCCGCTCCCGTCGAAGATCTGGCCCACCCGGCTGTAGCGCAGCTCTTGCGCGGTGCCCGGCGGAGCCACCACGTCGCCGTTGTCGCACCGGCATCCGCAGCCACAAGGGCAGTAGTCTTGCATAGGCTGGTTGCGCGCATCTGGATCGCAGGTGACGCCGCCGCCGACGTCTTCTCCCCCAGGGAAGCCGCCGAGGTTGTTGACCGTCTCGTCGCCGAGAGCAAAGTCGAGGTAGAGGCCACGAGGGTACGTGCCGTCGGGGCAGAGGGACGGGGGCGATGGTGGAAGGCTCGGCGACGAAGATTGCGGGGGCTGAGGTAACGGCGGCGGCGGCGGCGACGGAGGCGAGGGTGATGGCGGCGATGGGGGTGGCGACGGCGACGGTGGCGGAGGAGGTAGTGGTGGCGGGGGCGGGGGCGAGGGAGGCGGCGAGGGAGGTGGTGGCGATTGGGACGGCGGCGGAGGTGGCTGTGGCGACGTCGACGGTGGCGGCGGCGACCGAGATGGTGGTGGAGGCAGTGGAGATGGCGGCGGCGACGGCGGCGACGACGGTGGCGGCGATGGCGGCGGTGGTGGCAAAGGATGAGGAGACGGTGGCGGGGGTGATGGAGGTGGCGGTGGCGGGGGTGACGGAGGCGGCAGCAACGGAGATGGCGGCGGTAGCGGCGATGGAGATGGTGGTGGTGGCGGCGGTGGCGGCGATGGCAGTGGCGATGGCGGCGGTGGTGGCGGCGGCGGTGGCGGAGACTGCCCAATGCAATCCCGCGGCACGCCCGAGCCGGCAAAGAGGAAGTTCCTGCCAAACCTGCCCTTGCTTGCTGGTCGGTCGGGACTCACCGAGTACGACACCTGAAAGTGGGAGAGGCCTCTCGGGTACTCCATGCAGACGAACTTGGGCATCGTCCACCGGAACGGGCTCCCCGCCTTGCCGTGCGTGTTGGTCGAAGGGTACACGCCCGTCGCCCGCGGCCCCTCGCCCTCCCGGCAGTTGATTATGTCGGGTGTGACGCCGGGCGGCCGCTCGTAGCCCGACACGCCGAAGCCGCAGTTCACTCCGTCGACGCGCTCGATTTTGTCGCCTGTGGAGGGGTCGACGATCGGGTCGCTGCACTTCATGTGGCCGAACGGCTCCTCCCAAGGGCACAGGTCGTAGTCGGCGCACTCGCCGCTGTAGCTGCCCCCGTTCTCTCCGGCCCGCTTCATCAGCACCTCGTAGAACTCTTGCGGGTTGTCGCTGCCGCGACCCTCCCGAAGGCCCTCGGCGACGGCGCAGTCGCCAGTCCGGCTGACCTTCATGAAGCCGCTCGTGTCGATGTTTGGGCAGAGGTAGTCAAGGATGACGCCCCGAGACGGAACCTTGCCGTGCATGTAGTAGCCGTCGACGCCGCACGCCGACAGCGTCTCTTTCATATATCCTCCCGGCCCGGTGTCGAGGTCAAAGAAGCAAAAGTCGAAGGCGTAGTCCACCGCCACAAGCTCGTCCGTGGCCGAGTCGCGGAAGCTGTATCGGAACGTGGTGTCCGTGCCTTGTAGAAGGCTGATCTGCGCAAACGTGCCGCCCTCGTGGTGTCCAGTATTGTACGAGCTCCACGGCGTGTACTTGGTTGTGTTGGTCACGACGATGTCGATCTCCGCCGCCGGGGCCAGGCCGCTCCCGTCGAAGATCTGGCCCACCCGGCTGTAGCGCAGCTCTTGCGCGGTGCCCGGCGGAGCCACCACGTCGCCGTTGTCGCACCGGCATCCGCAGCCACAAGGACAGTAGTCTTGCATAGGCTGGTTGGGCGCATCTGGATCGCAGGTGACGCCGCCGCCGACGTCTTCTCCCCCAGGGAAGCCGCCGAGGTTGTTGACCGTCTCGTCGCCGAGAGCAAAGTCGAGGTAGAGGCCACGAGGGTACGTGCCGTCGGGGCAAGAGGCCGCTGCGCCAGGCCGGGCGAGCATCTGCTCCGAACTCGTCGGTTGTTGCTGCCGTGCTGCTTTGAAGTTCGTTCAGTCGCTCTCCTACGGGCCCCTCGGCTACTTCTACCGACTCCGTGTCCCCGGCGAGCACACCTTGTTGGAGTTATTCCGCACGTGATTCCGCAATTCCCACATCTGCAAGTTTTACGCCGGTGAAATTGCTATTACGAGCGCAACTCTTACCGTCCACCCCTTCTTCTAAAAACTGTTTCTACGACCTCGTCGGCAACTCTTACCATCCACCTTTGCTTGAGCACTCGATCGAGTGAGCACACACTCACTCACACACACACACACACACACACACACACACACACACACACACACAGTGGTAGCAGGTAGGGTCTCGATCGATTCCGCATGGTGCTCCATGTACATGTGCACGGGACCCCTCGATCGTCTCGCCCTCCCTCACTGGTGTGTTCATTTGGGGGGGGGGGGGGGGGGGGTCATAACAAACACGTACAGGATCGAGGATCGAGGACGAGGTGCACGCCGCCGAAAAATTTCGTCCACCCTCTCCATCACCTCTCTCACTCTGGGATAGACGTCGGCGGCGAACATGGGCCGGATGTGGCGGTGACCGATGACGGAGGACCGATCCGCGATCGAAGTAGAGCTGTCAAACGTTAACTTTGGGCCTAACAGTTGCACTATTGTTGGCTGAAAATCCTCAACGTTGTTCAAGTGTTCTCCCCAGCCCAAGCTGTTACTGTTTGTTACTGTTGTTACTGTTGTTCAGCGGCCAGCAAGCAGAAAATGGCAAAAAGCCCGGGTAAAACCCGAAAATACCTGGGTTTTTCCAGGTATTTTCGGGTATTACCCGCACTGGACGCTGGAGATCGTCGTGGGTCACTGCCAGGCCTTCCTTATTGTTGTTCAGCTGGCCTAACGTTAGCTACTGTTGTTGGGGAGCCCAACTGTTGTTCTGTTGTTACTGTTAACACTAGCAACACTGTTCAGCTCTTAACGTTTGACAGCTCTAGATCGAAGCCAAATAAAGACCTCAAGAGCGAATGAGGAGAGCTAGAAGTAGAGCCGTGTTTGTTATGACCCCCCCAATGAACACACCAGCGAGGGAGGGCGAGACGATCGAGGGGTCCTGTACCATGCGGAATCGACACAGCTATCCAGTGGCAGTGCTCAAGTGCTCAAGGAGAGCTTGTTCAGCAGAACAGCAGGACGACCGCAGCACGATCGGCATCGCCATCGGGGCAACATAGAAGCAACCTTTTGCTACAGAGAGAGTAAAGTGCGCGCTCGTCTACCGTACCGCGTACGTACGAGCCCAGTTCTATCTCTGTTTCTGGATGGCATACCCACGTGTTCACTCCACATCTTGCTCGCTTATGAAGCCCAGCATGCGCCACGCCCCGATGGGTGATCCCACGTTCATGAGGCGCGGCCGCGGCGCTCGCCCGCGTCGGCCGACCCGTGGCAGGATCACCGCGCCGTAGTAGGCCAGGACGGCAAAGTAGAGCGCACAAAAGCCGTCGGCGAGCCTGCCGAGCTCCGGCGAGGGCGTGAGGCCCACGAGGCTGGCGGCGAAGAGCGGCGGCTCGAGCCAAGCAGCGCAGCTCGCGTCGGACGCGAGAGCAGGAAGGGCGAGGCACGGCTGGAATGGCGCCTGCACGAGCACGCCGCCCGCAGCAGCCACGCACGCCAGCGCCCGCCATCCCAAGAAGGCGGCGCGCAACGCGGAGGGCTCGGCCGACCTCACCTCCTCGTCGAGATCAGACCACCAGCATAGGCTCACGAGTATCATTGCCTGGGCGACCAGCCCCGTCGGGACACCCAGCTGGCTCTGCTGGATGTTGAAGGCCACCGTAACGAGCAGCAGTGACGACGCCTGCCAGTAGCTGGTCATGATTCGCAGAGTCGCCTCAGCCGCCTGCGACCTGCCCCCGCAGCCACCGAGCGCGGACGGTCGGCATGCGTAGGCGGACCAGCCCAGTATCGCGAGTGGCGCCACGACAAAGAGGCTGACCGCGAGCCGGAAGTCGGTCCACACCACAGCGCGTAGCCACGGCGCGGTCGCTGCGTTGAGCGGCTCGAGAGTCGTCTCTGGCGAGAGCAGGACTCCGAGGTCGCTGCGGACGCCGCCGCCGCGTGATGCTGAGGCGGTGGGCGCCCGCAGCCGAGTGAGCGGATGCAGGAGTAGAGAGCGCATTGAGGTCAGAGAGAGCGTGCCGCCGTCGAGACCGGTCTGGCGGGAGATGCTGCTCGATGCCGAGCAACGATGCCGAGCGCAGTTTTCCGCCGACCTTGATTAGGCAAAAAAAACGATTGCGGCACTTTTAACAACGAAGGCGCTCTCAAAAAAAACGCCGCGCACCAATCTACTCAGAGCGGTGGTACTTACGCAAAATGGCGAGCGCGAGCGATGCGCAATCGCGGCGGTGCCTAGTGCTATGCGACTGCAAACCCGCGCTGCAGCAGATTGAGAATGCGCACCGCAAAGGGATGCCAGAAGGCCTGAGGGACTGGGAGAGAGGTGGGCTCCTAGAGGCGATTGCTTACTACAGATCGAAGCTAGAGGCGGTGGTCTTCATGTGGGTGCCAGCACACGTGGGAATAGCCTGCAACGCATACGCCGACGCGGTGGCGACAGCACACCTCGGAAATAACGACACGGAGGACGCCTCGAAAGTGGTGCGGGACGCGGTGCGGACGCGACCATGCATGTACACGGTGCGAAGGGAGGCGGCAGGGAACACAGAGAAGAGGGAGATAGTGGACCGACGGACGTACGGACACATGTGTAAGAGCGCGCACGAGTGGGTGTGCGAGCAATATCGAAAGAAGGTGAGGCCGGGGTCGCACACGGCAGGGGTGGCGGGACGGTTGTGGAGCGAAGTGGCGGTAGCCAGCCTCAAACATCGATGGGATAATAAAATGAGATTACCAGACGAGAACGGGGGGGAGGACAGGCGGGCGACATTTGACGACGTCGGGGATCACAATGTGACGACCAAAACGATCTTGGGGGCCAGGGTGAGACAACAGGTCGGGGTGCCACATGGGGCGCACCACAGGCGTATTCTAGAGGGGGAAAAGAAGCGGGGAATGAGGGGCCCCGCCACGAGAAGCGCGTTCTGGGGATGCAGAGCGTGCAAGGCGGCTAGGGATTAGGCCACAAAAGAGGCGCGCGAGGCAAGGAGGAGACTCGGAGAACTGAGAGACTGGGACGACTGGAAACAAGAAGACAGTGAGCCACCACAGGCGTCGTTGGCGCACATACTGAGCGGCAGCTGCGCTGACTCACGGACCCCATACCCGAAAGAAAGAGAGGGGAGCTCGCGGGGGAGGTGACGAGTGAACTACAGGTAGTGGGGAAGGCAGCCTCGATTGCCATACAGACATGGGTGCGAAACAACGACAAGACCAAGGCACGGGCAGAGGAACGAGAGAAGAATATAGGGTGGATAAAGCGCCTGTTCACGGCATGGAGGATGAGCCACACCGAACGTACCGAGCGAAGAGCCGAGCGGAAGGAAGCCGGGGAAGACGACTCCGAGGAGGACGAACCAGTGGCGGAAATCCCGTTGTCAGCCGTCACGATGCACCCGGCTCCGGCTCCACTAGCGAGGCGAATGACATATTCGACACCCTCGAAGACCATCTCGGCTACGGTTCCGACGGTTCCGACGACCATCTCGGCTACGGTTCCGACTCCGGCTCCGGCTGGTAGTCGACAAGCTGCCGAGCCCAAATCACTCTGTGTGCCACATTTCTTGTTGGCTTCTAAAAATCTCTCTCTCTCTCTCAGCGCCATAGGCCGTAATTTCTTCTCAATAACAAGGCTGTGAATAGGCCCTGGAGGCCTCAACCCCCAACTAAAGGGTTGAGGGAGGGTCTCAACCGTCAACCAGAGTTGTGCGCGTGTGTGAGCAAGCAGGGGAAGAAAACGACGGTAAAACGAAAAACGTAAGAGCCACATGCACGAGAGGCGCCCGATAGCCGACAACTTCTTTTGGCCGCTGAGACTTCAAGAATTTTACGACAAAACTCCCTCGCACTTGAAGAAAGAAAGCGCACGCCCCTGTGCTGCCAACGCCTTCGATACTCCTCGGATGGCGGATCTGGTGGACACCGCTGCCGGCTGTGTCGGTGCCACAGCCTGCACGCTCGGCGGCCTGCCGTTCGACGTCGCCAAGGCGCGGCTCCAGGCGGGCGGCGCGGGCCACGCCTACAGCGGCCTCGCCGACTGCCTCCTCACCACGGCAAGGACCGAGGGGGCGCTCGCCCTGTACCGCGGGATGGTGCCGGCGCTCTCCTCTGCGCTTGCGGAGAACTCGGTCGGCATCACCGTCCAGCGCTCTCTCCGCCGCGCGCTCGGCGTCGACGACGGCGGCCAGCGGCCGTCGGTCGGCACTGAGCTCGGGCTCGGCGCTGTCACGGGCGTCTTCACCTCGGTGGCGATCTGCCCGTTCGAGGTGCTCAAAGTGCGCCTGCAGCTCAACCACGACCTCGTCGACGCGGGTCCCGCCGCCCTGCTGCGCGAGCTCCGCAGCCTGGTCGGCAGCGAGGGCCTCTCCGGCCTCTACCGCGGCATCGGCTCGCTCGTGTGTCGCGACGTGCCGTACAACACGCTCTTCTACGGCGCCGCGCCCCGCCCCGCCGCATCGTTTCGCCCGCCCGCCGCGCCCGCTCCCGCCCACCCCAGGCCGCCGCCTCTCCAGGCTCGTACGAGTCGCTCTGCACGCTCTTCATGCGGCTGACGGGAGTGCAGCGCAAGGAGGAGCTGGCGACGGGGTGGGTCTTCCTCTCCGGCGGGCTCGGAGGCTGCATCGGCTGGTCGCTCGTGCTGCCCTTCGACGTTGTCAAGACGCGTGTGCAGTCGGGCGCGGAGAGCCGCGCCCTCCCCCTCGTGCGGAGGATCGTCGCGACGGAGGGCGTGCAGGGCCTCTTCCGCGGCTGGACGGCGGCGGTGGTGCGCGCCTTCCCCGCGAACGCGTGCCTCTTCCTCGGCGTCGAGGTCACCACCCGGCTGCTGCGCCCCGCAACCTCACGGCGCGACGCGACGGCCGTGCCGCCTCCGCCGCCCGCGGTGCCCGCGGTGCCGGCCGCAGGAGCGGGAGCCGTGGCGGCGCTGTCTCCTCGTGAGGAGGGGAGGGCGTGAGGGGCGTCGAATTCGGGGCTCCGGGAGCGTCAAGGCGCGCCGGCAGCGCCACCGCCAGCCACAGCACCCCTGTCGCGACTCGGCCGAGACGAGCGCCGAGCGGGCAGAGAGAGCCTGCCCGCGTCGGCGCCGCGCAGGGCGCAGCCCTTGCGCCTTGGTTTCGCGCGCAGTCTTCAACCAACACAACTCAGACACAACTCTAATATATATTGCATGATAGACTCGTACTGCATGAACGTCATGAACTTGCGTGTTTTGTCTTGTGAATTTAATCTCGATTCTCGTTGACATCAACACAAAACAGGCCCCTGCCCTCTGCGCTCTGGCCAGGGGAGGCGGGGGCCCCCGGAGGCACCGTGCGCCGCGCGCCGCAGGGTGCGGAGTAAGGAGTATGTTGCAAAATTTGAAAATTTGCAAACGCGAAACGGGGCCCCGGCTCCACTAGTCTCAGCTAGCACCGACTTCCCGAATGATACGGTTGATTAGAGGGCAGATTTGGAGATATCTCGAGGAGTACATACAGATAGACCCTCCAATCATCAGAAAACCGTCCAACCTGATCGGTCGTACTGACCGCCAACAGATCACTCCAGCCAGGCAGCAGACAGGCCGACGTCTGCACGCGGCCGGCCGGGCGAGAGGCTTGACACGATCCGACCCTGCGACCCTGACGCTGCTGCTCTAGCTATCAGACATGCGCGCTGACTGCTGCCACAATGTGCGATCGGTGCTGACCCACTTGGCGGCCTTCCCGGTCAGTGGTGAGGCGCAGTTCAGAGCTGTCGATGGCGCGATGCCGCACTGGTCCTCCCACATTGGTGACACGAGACCACCACGTTTGCCGGTCCAAGAGAGAGGCACCGGCGCTGTCGTGAGAAGGTGCATGGTCTCTCTTGACTGCCCATGCGCGCGAGGCTGTGTAGGCATAGCCTCGAGAGTGCCAGCAGCCAATCCGAGGCGACGCGCATTGCGTCAGAAGCGTGCACGCGCTGGAAGGACACCTTCCTGGCCGTAGGATCAGGTCATCACTGAATGCCTGATACTAAGGCCGCGAGCTATGCAGGTGATCAATTGTGCAGCAGGGCACGGTCAGCAGCGCCGACAGGCTGTCGCAAGGCGTGATAGCATGGTCGCAATACGCGAAATTCTCATGAACAAGTAGAAAAAAAAATGCCGCCTGCGGCGGGCCATGGGACCCCATCTCCCCCCCGCATGGGTACCCCCTAGGAGCCCCGCCTCCCCCCAGAGCAAATGCCAAACCCAAATGATGAAGTTGTTAGATTTCCTTGGGACTTTTGCACCGCTTTATTGATTGGTAAAGAAAGTGAAAGAAAACAGACAACCCAAGGCGCAAGGGAGGGATGGGAGGACGGCACGCCGCCACCACACAGGGATTTTAAGGAGAGGAGTGTGATGCGCTAGCCGTCGCCCACACCCTTTGGCGTCCGCCTCTTCTCCTTAAAACTGTAAATAAATAGAGCTCAGTCATCTCCAGGAGAGATGGGCGACGCACGAACACAGAGGCACAGTGCGCCCCCCGCCCCGCTCGCAGGGCGTGCATCACACAGGACTGTGTGATTCCTCGGGTTTCTGGGGACTCTTGACAGAGGTGTGCTAGGCGCTACAGTCGGACGGTTCCGGGCTCGAGTGAGGGCCGTGGTCGCGGTCGCGGCCAGCGCGCGGGGCCCGGCTAGGGCTGCCGGGCGAGTTCTCGACCCACGCGCCGGAGCGCGGAGTAGTGCTTGATCAGCCGGGCGATCGCCGCAGCCACCTCGATCGGCAGCTCGTCGAGCCACCACTCGCCAAAGGTGCCCTCCTCTTGCGCCGCAGCGAGGAAGCGCTCGCCTAGGCCGTATGCGCGGCAAGCCCGGAGGAGCGCCTCATTCGTGATCTCGTCCGGTGTCTCGGAGTCGTAAGCCGGAGACAGAGGAGCCGGCAGAAGAGGCCCGCTTCGCAGGCGGCGCGTCAGGCGACGAGGAGCGGGAGCGCCGCGGCGGCCCGCCGTCGCCGCGCGCGGAAGCCTTCTCCAATTCCTACAATGCGTCTCGACAATGCGTCGGCTCCGTCCTTGCCTGCGCTCGTCTCGCCGCCTGCGCGCCTTCTCCTCCGCAGCGGCTCATGACCTTCCAGCCGACGACTGTGTCCGGTTCGAGGACGTCGTTCGGGCGCACCACCGCATCAGTCGGGCATCGTCCGAACCGAGTGCAGGCCGTCGTACCACCTGTCCAACATGACGGGTTGTAGCATCCACCTGAAGAAGGAGTGTGACGGGTTCCTTCAAGGAGCGCGGCGCACGCACGCCATCATGTCGCTCAGCGAGGAGCAGCGGCGGCGCGGCGTGATTGCCGCCTCTGCCGGCAACCACGCGCTAGCCCTCGCGTGGCACGGCTCGCAGCTGGGCGTGCCGGTGACAGTGGTGATGCCAACCGTCGCGCCGATGACCAAGGTCCAGAACTGCAGGCTCTTCGGCGCGAACATCATCATTCACGGAGACCACATCGGCGAGGCCAAGGACTATGCGCTGCAGGACCCCGCGCTGCAGGGACTGACCTACATCAACGGCTACGACGACGTCGAGGTCATCGCGGGCACTGGCACGCTCGGCATCGAGATGCTGGAGCAGGTCCCCGACTGCGAGGTGCTCGTCGTGCCCATCGGGGGCGGCGGCCTCATCGCCGGCATCGCCCTCGCCGCCAAGACGCTCAACCCGGCGGTGCAGGTTGGCGGGTGTCTGGCCTCCGAACCCTCGACCCGAGCCTCCGCCCCGACCCCGACCCCGACGACCGGCGCCCGCAGGTGGTTGGCGTCGAGCCGCGGCGCTGCGCCTCGTACACCGCGGCGCTGCGGGCGGGACACCCGGTGACGGCGGAGGTGCTGCCGACGCTCGCCGACGGCCTCGCGGTGCCGCAGGTCGGTCCGCACGCCTTCGCCGTGGCTCTGAAGCCGAACGCGTAGCACGGCCGTGTCGGGCTTCGAGCGTTTCTCCTTGTTAGGCACCCGCTCAATCACCATGATTGGGATCGCAGAAGTGCATGCCAAGCACCGCCACGCTCTTGAAGCAGGACACATCGCAACCGCATCGTCGACGAGGTTGTGCGGGTGGAGGAGAAGGACGTCGCGCTCGCGGTGCTGCGGCTGGTCGAGGGGAAAAAGATGGTGGTTGAGCGCGGCGGGGCGACGGGCCTGGCCGCCCTCCTGCCCGGCGGCCCGCTGGACCGACCGACTTCAAAGGGAAGCAGGTGGTCGTCCCGCTCTGCGGCGGCAACATCGTCATCGACGTCAACGTGCTCGGCCGCGTCATCGAGCGCGGCCTCGCCGCCGACGGGCGGCTGGTGCGCCTCACGCTGCGGGTGAGCGACCGTCCGGGCGGCATCGCGGAGCTGACCGGCGTGCTCGCCGCGGCGGGCGCGAGCGTCAAGGACATCTTCCACGAGCGGGCGTGGCTGCACACCTCCGTCGACCAGGTGACGATCAAGGCGGTGCTCGAGACGCTCGGCCCGGAGCACAACGCCGCCATCATGCGCAGCCTCGCCGACTCCTTGCCGGCCGCGGTCGACACCATGAGGCTCGAGGGCACATGGACGGAGGACGGCGCCTCGAACCTGAGCGGCCGTTGGGTGACGCCTCATACGTACGTACAGTAGTCAGTACACCTCTCGCCCCCCCCCCCCCCCCCAAGGTAGTTCTTGGGATGGCCGATCGGATGTGGAGATTAGAAAACAGGGAAAAAGAAACAAAAGACCGAAGGAAAAAGCGCGAGAATTCTTTAGTGCGCGCCGGTCCCGTTCCATGTAAAATTCTTTTTGTGTGAGGCCCCCACGTACATGCCCGGCCTCTTCGAGACCTCGAGTCGCGTCTGCGGGGTGTGCACGCGCCAGTACGCCAAGTACAAGTGCCCGCGCTGCGCTGTCGCGTACTGCTGCCTCGCCTGCTACCGCAGCCACTCTGAGGGTGCGCGCAGCACTCCCGGCGAGCATGCTGCCGCTGTCCGCTCACGCTCTGTTGGCGATAGGCTGTGCCGAGGGATTCTACGAGGAGGAGGCCACCCGCGTGCTGCGAGAGACCCGGGCCACGCCCGAGCAGCGCTCGGAGATGCTGCAGACGCTCCGCCGCTTTGAGGGCGAGTACGGCGATGGGCGGGCTCTTGGCGGTGGCGGCGGTGGCGGCATACCGGATGACGGCGAGGGGAGCGAGGATGACGGCCTCGACGCGGTTGCGAGCGGCGACGAGGAGGGCGAGCTGGACGAGCCGGCGCGGATGGCGCTGGTGCAGCTGCTTTCGGCCGCGAGCCTGCAGGGCGAGGGCGAGGGCGAGGGCGACCCCGCCGGAGGGCCGCTGCTCGACGAGGCGAGCCTGCTGAGCGAGGCGGGCCGCGCCACCTTCCGCCGGCTCGTTGCAGACGGCTCGCTCGCGGCGCGGCTGCAGGCGGCCCCGGCATGGTGGGAGCGTGTCCCTCCGGCTGCTGTCGTCGGGTCCGTGGCGGGCGGTTGGTGCGTCGCCGCCCCGGCGCCGAGGGTGGTGGATGTGACGGACGAGGCCGCCGCCGAGGCGCCCGTGGACGCGGCCGCGGCGGGGGCGCTGGTGGAAGCTGGGGCGGGGAGCAAGGCGGAGGCGGAGGCGAGGGCAGGGGCCACGGCAGGGGCGGGGCCCGCCGCACCCTTCCTCGAGGGGGCTCCGCCGCTGCCGGCGACGATCCCGCCGCTGCGCTCGCTGACGAGCCGCGCCGTGCCCGCCGGGCTGCGCTACTCGCTGCTCGAGCAGCTCGTCGGCTACGCTTACGTCTACCGGCTGCACTGCGGCGCGCCAGAGGACGACCCGCTCTCTGCCGGCGCGGCGCTGCTCGCGCTGTGCGCCACTCTCTCGGGCAGCGTGCCGGGCGTGCACCCGACCGCCAGCGAGGCGCTGCTCCGGCTCGCCCTCTCCGCTGACGACCCCGCCGTCGCCACCTCCCCCGCCTTTGGCGCGCGTGCCGTCGCCGACGCAGAGACGCTGCTCGGAGACCCGGCGGGAGGGCGGGCGGCGATGGCGCTCGCCGGGCTGGACGAGCTGCTCCGTGCGTGCGCGTGCGCCGGCGCGGCGCTGCCCGCGGCGGAGCGGCGGTGCGCCCGCCACGCGCAGCGCAAGGCGTCCTTCCTCGCCAGCTGGTGGCGCAGCCTCGGAGAGCCCGAGCGGCGGGTGGTGTCCGAGGCGCTGCGCTTCGAGCTGCGCAAGGAGCTCGAGCGGAGGGAGGCGCTGCGCGTCGCGGCGGCGGGGCCGCAGACGGCGGCGGCCACGCTTATCCGGCCGGTGGGTGATAGTTGATCGAGACGTGAGGCTATTATTCGCTCCGAGCATCTCCATTGCTCCAACTCTGCGGCACAACCTGTCTCGTTGTGGCTTGTGCATGCGCTAACTAGAGAGCGCCCTCCAGAGAGCGGTGGACGGCGAGGTGCTATAAAAATAAATAAATAAAACGGACACCTCTACTATAGGAGATGGGTAAAAAGACGGCGAGGTGCTGCCCAAATCCCAAATGTCAAAATTCAGCCTGGGCTGTGTGTGTGAAAGAGCTTCTACCCCTTATTCGGACACCAGCCCATGTGTGTGTGCTGCGTGTGACATGCCCACATGCCTCTCTCGGTACTAGCTAGACTAGCACACTCTAGCAGCCGTCGCGCGTAACCGTAACGAGCTGTCGAGAAAGCTACAGCCCGTCGTCCTCCCACAGCCAAGCCGCATCATCGGTGTTGCCATCGGTGGCGCCGGCGGCCTCCAACCGTCGAACGGCCGCGGCCTGCTCCTCGGCAGCCGCGTCTGCGCCGGCGCGGGTCGACCCTGCCCCGTCCGAGGCGCAGATGCTGCTCGCAAAGACGAGCTCAAACCCGCGCGCCAAGGCGAGCCCGCGCAACACCTCGCGGAGCGCGGAGAGCGGCATGTCGCGCCGCGTCTCAATGAATAGCTGCTGGGTCTTGTCGCGCCAGCCGGTGCCTCCGCGCGCGAGCAGCCGGACGGAGGAGCGGCGTCCAAAGCCGGCAAAGGCCACTGTCAGTGGCGCCCCCTCCTCGACGCTGGCAGCCGGCGTGTACTCGAGCGAACGCACTCGCGACGTGGTGACGGCGACCACGCCGTCGCTCGCCCTCAGCATGCCAATCAGCGCGAGGACGCCAGGCAAGTACACCATCTTGTACGGCGTCCGCGAGCGGTCCGCCGGCGGGCCGGCAGCGGTGGCGGATCCCCCCTCGCGCACCCCCTCGCGGCTGCTGCTCCCGGGGCGCCTCTCCGACACCCGCGGGCGCGGGCCCCGGCGAAGTGCGACCGCCCCCTTCGAGGCGCCTGCCCGACCGCCGCCAGAGCCGCCCACCCCGACGAGCGACTCCCACGCGGCGGCGTCGTCCTCCGACGCAATCCTTGGCACAAACGTGGGCGTCACAAGCGACGCAGCCGACTCGGCGGCCGCGGCTGCGGCGGCCTCCTCGGCGGCAGCGGCCTCCTCCACGGCACGCCTCTCTGCCGCCAGCTGCGCCTTTCGCCGCCGCAGCATCTCGCGCGCCGTCTCGCACGCGCGCTCCGCCTCGGTGGCGCCGAACGAGCCGAGGAGCCGGCCCGGCTCCGTCGCCGAGAGCAGAAAGACGTAGAGGCTACCCGGCCGCAGCTCCGGCACCCCGAGCGAGCGAAGCAAGCCTCCTCCCGCGTCGCTGAGCACCGCCGAGCTCGGAGCGGCGGCCGCCGCGGCGCGCAGAGCCGCGACGTAGATGGCGGCCGCCTCGCCGACCGAGACGGAGGCCAGGCTCGCGTTCGCCTCGGCGGCTAGCCCGCCCAGCCGGCTGTCCCACAGCCGCGCCGCCTGCGGCAGCGTCCCCTTCGAATCCGCCGCGCCGCACAGGAAGAGGACGGCGCTCCTGCCCGCCGCGGCCTCGAGCAGGTCGCGCGGGGCGGCCTGCGAATCGCCGCCGCCCACAAGGCTAAGCCCGGTCACAAGGCTAAGCCCGCTCAGGTCGAGGCCGGGCAGCGCGTCCCCTGCGTGCGGAGCGCCTCGCCTTCCTCCGCTCTCCTCCTCCTCCCCCGCCCCCTCCTCGCTCCCACCCACCGCTGCGGCGGCGGCCGCCTGTGCGGCGACCTCCTGAGCGGCCGCTTCCGCCGCCGCCTCAGCCTGCGCGCGTGCCGCCGCCTCCGACGCCGCCAACGCTGCCGCCTCGCGGGCTGCTGCCGCCGCCGCGTCGGCCGCCGCCACGGCGGAAGCGGCCGCCGCCCGCTCCTCCTCTGCGCGCGCCTCGGCTGCCCGCCGCGCCGTCTCCGCCGCCTCCAGCTGCTTCCGGAGGGTCGCGTCAGCGCCAGCCGCGTCAGCGCCGGCTGCGCCCGCGCGGGGCCTCGTGTCATCGGCCGCACGCGGCCTCGAGTCTGCCGGGCCGCCCGCCTTCTTTGCCTGCTTCTTCTGCTTCGGCATCTTCTGCTTGGGCGCGGCGCGCGCCTTCGCCTCGGCGAGTGCCATTGCCGCCTTGGCGTTCGCGGCGTCGTCGGCCGCCTTCTGCGCCGCCGCCGCCGCCTCCCTCTGTTGCGCCGCCGCCGCCGCCTCCTCCCTCTGCGCCGCCGCCGCCTCGTCGGCGCGCGACGCCTCCAGCGCCGCCTTGAGCTGCTCGTTCTCCCGCTGCAGGGCCTGCAGCGCCTTGAGCTCCTCGTTCTCGCGCCGGAGCGCCTCGAGATCCGCACCCGCATCCGCCGGACCCGCCGACGGCGGCGGCGGAGCCGCGGTGGGCAGCGCGCCAAACAGCTCCGCCGCGCGCCTCTCGCTGCGCGCCGCCTCCGCCTCGGCGGCGGTGCTTGGGGCGGGCGGTGCCGGAGCTGCCGCGTCGGTGGGTGAGGCGGATCCCTTTGCCCGCGCCTCGACCGCGGCGGTGACCCGGTCGAGCAGCGGCGCCGGGTCGGCTGGCCCAAAGGAGGCGAGCAGCACGCCGCCGCGCGCCACGTCGAGGAGGTAGCCGCACGGGCCTCCGTTCCGGTCGACGTTGAGCTGCGAGAGCCAGGCCGAGTCCGGGTCGCTGAGAAGCGGGAAGGAGACGCCGCCCTTGCGCTCGAGCTTGCGGTAGGTTGCCGGCGCGACGCGCGAAACGGCCGCCACCGCCGCGTCGAGCTTCGCGCCGGGGAAGCGAGACGCAAACGCGACGAGGTCCGAGCGGAGGGCGTTGGACATGATGGGCTCGGACGAGGCGAGGAGGACGAGGTAGGAGCGGCCGGCGGCGAGCGCGGCGAGCGAGTCGAAGGACGTGGGGTGGCCAGCCAGCGCAGACAGCTTGGCTGGCGTGGGCAGCGGCTCACCCGAGGTGAGGAGCTCCGATGACAGCGCCCGGCCCTGCCGGCCTGTGCGCGATCCGGCAACCATGGCGTCGAAGGCGGCGTACTCCTCCTCGAGGGATGGGCCGCTCGGCGCCGCCGGCCGCGGGTGTGCCTTGGGCGCCGACGGCCGCGCGGGCTTTGTGGACGGCTGATTCGACCGCTTGAAGGCGGCAAAGATGTCGTCCCGGGTGACGGCCGTTTTTTTTGCCGCGGGTGGGGGCTTTGGCCGCTTGGGCGGTGGCGGCGGGGCGGTCGCCTCGCTGAGCCCGCCCTCGCGTGCCGCTCGCGCCCGCTCGAGCATGGCGGCCAGCTCCGCCTGCTTCTTGTTGATCATGCCGGGCGGCGGCGAGCGCGAGACCGCCGGCCTGCGAGGCAGCGCGCACGAGGGCGAGAGCGAGAGAGCTGCGCAGGAGGTGAGGGCTGCCAGCGTCAGCCACGGGCTGGGGCGCATGGTAATGCTCGACGTCAAAAGTATTTCGGGCGGCTTCCCCTCCCCTCTCAAGACTGCGAAGAGAGATAGGAAGAGGCAGACTCCCTAGGGTGGGCGACGGCTAGCGCACCACACACCTCTCCTTAAAATCCCTGTGTGGTGGCGGCGCCGTCCCTTGGCTTGTCTGTTTTCTTTCTTTCTTTCTTCCCTCTCAAGACCTTCCCAAGGGCGAGGACACGCGCAGGCCGCACCTCTAGTGAGGCCCGCATAGTATGTGGGAGACTCATGCCGCCGCCCCTGCCACCCCTGTGACGCTGTGAGCTGTGTCAGTGTGCCCGTGCGTGGTAGTGAGAGACTGCCGGTGAGAAGCCGGAGGAAGGTCGCTAGACTGAGATGAGACCGCCAGTGGAGTTGGGATTCCACCGTGCACCGCGCTGCGAGCCTGTCGTGTCCCTTGTCAGGAGCAGGAGAGCCCACCTGTCCCCCTGATCGTCCTTCCAAAATCCTGCTCGTGCAGGTGTGGACCCTGTCCTCCTCCCCTACGAGTATCCCTCGTTTGGGTTGTCTTGGAGCACTTGGAGTGCAGTCAGTAACCGCACATCCAGGGCCGGGGAGCTAAGAGTCTGTTTTCTTTCTTTTTTTACGTCCTCCCATCCCTCCCTTGGGTTGTCTGTTTTCTTTCTTTCTTTCTTTGCTCCAAGTACTTGGCTTGTTGCTTTCTTTCTTTCTTTCTGCTCCAGGTACTTCGCGGCCTAAATCTGTGCAGGTTGTCGGGGACACGATGCCAGAGAAGAAATCACGCCTCCCACAGTGATTTGGGCTCGGCAGCTTGTCAGCCCTCAGCCGAAGCTGGGGCCGGTCCCGTAGCCGAGAGAGCCCGCGCCGATGAGTTCGACGCGGTCGGGGGGGCCTGCGGAGAGGCCAGCGAGGTGGCGATCGCTGTACTTCATGGCGCCCTCAAAGTGGGGCTGGCTAACTCGCCAGAGGTCGATACTCTGGACGACCCATAGGATGCCACGAATGCCTGAAGGAGAGGGAGGCGAGGCCAGAGGCAGGCTCAGCTGCTCTCGGGTGATCTCACTTTGGTGGCTGAAGGACCCGATGGTCCTGTCACATTCGCGTTCCGAGTCGTGGGGGTAGAAGAATTCGAGGTAGAATCGAGTCAGCACTTCCTTGTAGTACAGCGGACCGCCAGGCTCGCCGGCAGCATCCGCAGGGAGGCAGCATATGAGGCACCAGTCTTCTGGAGAGCTCAACAGCTGCGGCCGCGATGGTAGAGTCGGCCGCGGTTCGAGCGAGCAGCTTTTGGCTGCGGGATCGAATATCGCGGAAGGCTCATGCCCTCGCGGAGCGACGCGGGTCGCGCGGCGCGCGCGTGTGCGCGAAATGCGACAACAGACGACAGATGACAGACGCCTGAGCGCTGTACGACTGAACACGACCGTCGCCGCAATCGCCACCGCCGCCATTTTGACGAGCAGCGCGAGCGCGCTCGTCGGCGGCCAGCCGTCGCGGGCCGGGCCGAGCCCGGCCTCGACCGGCCGCGCCGCCGCAGCAGACCGGGAGGCCCGAATGGCGGCCGACCAGCTGATAAGGACCTTTGTGGTTTTCTAAAATCTCTCTCTCTCGATGCCGGCGTGAACACAACTAACTGATGGATCCGCTCTTGACAGTGGCACGCGCCGCGCAGCGGCGCGTGGGTGCCAATGTCTTTGTTTGAAGTTAAAAGTCGATGTGCGGTTGATCACTGGACACTGCACTCCAAGTGCTCCAAGTCGAATCAGAGCGCCGTCGGCGTTGTTTCCTCCCACGGACCGCTTCCGGGACGCACGCCGGCGAAGCACTATTGACCTATTGAGCTGCTGTACGGCCCCGGGCCCGGCATCGCCTCCCCTCTGGCTTAGCTAGACTGAGAGATATTGTGCACATGGTCAGTTTCTACAATATACTCACTGACACTTTACCTCCTAGAGCTCGTGGTCCGCCACGGCCATCCTCGGCCTCCGGAGGGCCCGCGCGCCACAAATCCGACCACAGAGCACCGGGACGCGGTCGGGCGATCTGAGGCCCAACTAGGCGTATGCATTGACTATCCAGGGCTATCACCTGGACCTATCAACAGGCGCCTGCGGGCTGCGGCGCCGTGGTCAGGAGCTGCTGTTCACACCTGCACAGGCCACAGACTTTGATACGGCACAATACGCTCTCTTTCTCTGTCCCGTAACAGTATAAATAGAGCAGACGTCTCCTGGAGAGATAGATAGGGCGACAACCCGACGGGCAGACCCGCCCTTGGCCTTTACACCATATTCTCGAATATCTTTGAGAATATAGAGGGTCCCGCGCACTTCCATATTCGAGAATATTCTCGAGAATACAGATGCCCCGGCCGGCTTTTCCCTCAAGAATATACGAGCTTTCCGCAGCCCTTGACCTTAGTAGACCTCGAGTCCAAAGATATTCTTGAATATTCTTGACGTTGCCGCTGTGCGGCGTCTAAAACGGTCTTGACGAGAGAGCTCGAAACAGCTATTCCCCCCTCAACAGTGTAGGTTTCGGGTCGATGCCGACTGAAATCTTTAAGTTTTGGAGGTTCTGAGCGGGTTTGCGTTTGGAGCGACTTTTGGTCTCCGTCGATCTACGCGAGGTCAAAATATTCTCAATATTCGAGAATATTCTCGAGAATATAGAGGGCCCAGAGAGAATATGATGCAAAGAATATAGATAGCCTTTGCAGAGAAAAGCGTGTAAAGGCCTAACCCGCCCGGCTCGGAGGGCGTATATCTAGCATCTAGGCGCTGCACGGCTCCTCACTCAGGCTTTCTGCGTCTGGGGTGGTGTGTGTGTGTGTGTGTGTGTGTGTGTGTGTGTGTGTGTGTGTGTGTGTGTGTGTGTGTGTGTGTGTGTGTGTGTGTGTGTGTGTGTGTGTGTGTGTGTGTGTGTGTGTGTGTGTGTGTGTGTGTGTGTGTGTGTGTGTGTGTGTGTGTGTGTGTGTGTGTGTGTGTGTGTGTGTGTGTGTGTGTCCCATAAATAAATAAAAAATAGAGCAGTCATCTCCAGGGAGAGATGGGCGACGCACACGAACACAGAGGGACAGTGCGCACCCCGCCCCGCTCGCAGGGCGTGCATCCCGTAAAAGTGTGGCAGTCGGGCGGCCAGCGGCAGCGCATCAGCGTGATTCCCAACTAGCGCCACGATCGCTGAAGTACGTGTGAGGCTCCCCACGTCCCGTCGCAGTTTCTGCACCATACGGCAGTGTGGGCGCAGGTTATACCTCATGGGATAAGGGTGGTCATGACTGGGAGGTGTGTAGGTTCTTTTTCCTTTTGTGCGTTTTGGGTTGCTCGGGCTGTTCACGTTCGCGGAGCTTTCCCTGACCTCGCGCGCGAGAGGCACATCGACATGCTCCGTCGGACGAGACGTATGCTCCGCGCAGGCACGCTCGGTCTCCTCGTTTCGACCGTCAACGCCGCCTTCGCCCCGGCGCCCGCTCGCGCCGCGTATGCTGGCGCGCGGCACGCGCTGCGGCCCGGAGCGCGAGCTGCCGGGAGAGCGGCGCCCAGCCGCGGCAGCGCAGTCCATCTCTCGTGCGACCACGCGACGCGGACCTGCGGCGTGCACGCACCGAGTGGCACCAACGCCGCAGCGGCCGTCGCCGCCGTCGCCACGGCGCCCACCGTGCGCGGCGTGGGCACGCGGGCGGGCGGGCCCGCGATGGTGGCGCCGGCGGTGGAGACGGCCGAGTGCGGTGCGGGCACGTCCGACGGCGAGATGGCGAAGCAGTACGTGCCTGCCGAGGTGGAGGAGCGGCTGTACGCGTGGTGGGAGGCTAAGGGCTACTTCAAGCCCGCGCCGGACAACGGGAAGCAGTGCTTTGTCGTCTCGATGCCGCCTCCGAACGTGACTGGGCGGCTGCACATGGGGCACGCGATGTTCGTGGCGCTGGAGGACATCATGGCGCGCTTCCACCGGATGCGCGGGCACCCGACGCTCTGGCTTCCGGGGACGGACCACGCGGGCATCGCCACGCAGATGCTCGTTGAGAGAGACCTCAAGTCGAAGGGGGTGGAGCGGGTGGCGCTCGGCCGCGAGGGCTTCCTGGACAAGGTGTGGGAGTGGAAGGAGGAGTACGGCGGCGCGATCACGGCGCAGATCCGCCGGCTCGGTGCCTCGTGCGACTGGTCGCGCGAGCGCTTCACTCTCCAGCCCGAGCTCTGCGAGGCTGTGACGGAGGCGTTCGTGACGCTGCACGAGCGAGGCCTCGTCTACCGGGGTGAGCGGAGCTCTCCTCTCCAGATCTCCTCTCCAGATCTCCTCTCCAGATCGCCTCTCCAGCACCTCTCGCCCGCGCGGCGAGGGCATGACGAGAGGCTCCGCCGCCCGCTCAGGCGAGTACATGGTCAACTGGTCGCCCGTGCTCGGCACCGCCGTCTCCGACCTCGAAGTGGACTACGTCGAGGAGCAAGGCTGCAGCTCTCTCCAGCTCCCCGCCCGCCGGCCGCGAGGCTGCCTCCCCTCCCACAGCCTCGCGCCCCCCGCGAGTAGGGAAGCTGTACTACTTCGACTACCCGCTCGCGGACGGGTCCGGCGCCATCCCCGTCGCGACCACCCGCCCTGAGACCATCCTCGGCGACGCGTGCGTCTGCGTGCACCCCGAGGACGAGCGGTACAAGGAGTTTGTCGGCAAGCTGGTCCGCGTGCCAGGCACGCAGCGGGAGGTGCCCGTCATTGCGGACGACTACGTGGAGCGCGAGTTCGGGACGGGGGCGCTCAAGGTGACGCCGGCGCACGACGTCAACGACTACGCCATCGGCCAGCGGCACGGCCTGCCCCTCCTCAACATCCTGAACAAGGACGCGACGATGAACGAGGCGGCGGGCAAGTACGCCGGCCTCGACCGGTACGCGTGCCGTGCGGAGCTGTGGGCGGACCTCGAGGCGGAGGGGCTCGCGCTCAAGGCGCGCGCGGGGGAGGGAGGGCCGGCGGCGGCGCGGGGGAGGGAGGGCCGGCGGCGCGGCTCGTGGCTCCGACCCCCGCGCCCCTGCTGCCCGCAGGTGGAGGAGCACACGCAGCGGGTGCCTCGCTCGCAGCGGTCGGGCGAGGTCATCGAGCCGCTCGTCTCGACGCAGTGGTTCGTCAAGATGGGGGGGATGGCGGGCAAGGGGCTCGAGGCGGTGCGGTCGGGCGAGACCAAGATCCTGCCCGAGCGCTTCGAGAAGGTCTACTTCAACTGGCTCGAAAACATCCAAGACTGGTGCGTCTCGCGCCAGCTCTGGTGGGGCCACCGCATCCCGGTCTGGTACGTCGACTCGGCGCCGGGCAAGTACTACTGCGCGCGCTCGGAGGAGGAGGCGCGCAAGCGGGCCGAGGCCGAGCTCGGGCCGGGCGTGGTGCTGCGGCAGGACGACGACGTGCTCGACACGTGGTTCTCGTCCGGGCTGTGGCCCTTCGCGACCGTCGGCTGGCCGCAGCAGGCGCTGGGCGGAGACCTGACGGGCGGCGGCGCGCCGGCGGGCTCCGACCTGGCGCGCTTCTACCCGTCGTCGGTGATGGAGACCGGGTACGACATCCTCTTCTTTTGGGTCGCGCGCATGATGATGCTCGGCCTCGAGTTCACCGGCAAGGCGCCCTTCCACACCATCTACCTGCACGGCCTGGTGCGCGACGCAAAGGGCCAAAAGATGAGCAAGACCAAGGGCAACGTGGTGGACCCGCTCGACACGATCGACACGATGGGGACCGACGCGCTCCGCCTCTCCCTCGTCACGGGCGTCACGCCGGGGCAGGACGTGCCCCTCTCCGAGGACAAGATCCAGGCGAACCGCAACTTCGCAAACAAGCTGTGGAATACGGCGCGCTTCCTCACGATCGGCCTCGCGGACCTGCCCGCCGAGCAGCGGCAGGCGCTCGCCGTGACCGGCCCGCTGGCGGAGGCCGACCTCGCCGACCTCGCCCTGCCCGAGCGCTACATCGTCTCGCGCGTGCACGCCCTCGCCACCGACGTCACCGCGCAGCTGAGCAGCTACGACTTTGGGCCCGCCGGGCAGTCCATCTACTCCTTCCTGTGGGACGAGTACGCGGACTGGTACCTCGAGATCTCGAAGGGCCGGATCGCCTCCGCCGACGCGCGCGCCGCCGCCGACGCGCGCCGCACGCTCGTCTACGTGCTCGACACGTGCCTCCGGCTACTGCACCCGTACATGCCCTTCATCACCGAGGAGCTGTGGCAGCGGCTGCCGCACGAGGGCGAGTCGATCATGGTGGCCGACTGGCCGCTGATGGAGGAGGCGGGCGAGCTGCCGCGCGACGCCGCCGCCGAGGCCGAGTTCGCCTCGCTGCAGGCGCTGGTGCGCGGCATCCGAAACGCGCGCGCAGAGTACCGCGTCGAGCCCGCGAAGAAGGTGGCGGCCACGGTGCTCGCGGCGCCGCGCCTCGCCGCGGCGGTGCGGAGCGAGGCGGCCGCGCTCGAGGTGCTCGCGCGCGTGGCGACGGGCGCGCTCCTCGTCGAGGAGGCCGGCTCCGACGCCGCGGCGGCCGCCGAGCAGGCGGCGGGCGAGGGCGCCGTGCGGCTGATCCTGGGCGACGGGCTCGAGGTGCTGCTGCCGATCTCGGACCTCGTCGATGCGGACAAGGAGCGCGCGCGGCTGGGGAAGCAGCAGACCAAGCTCGAGGCGGACATCGGCAAGCTGGAGGCGAGGCTGTCGTCGGACGGCTTCGCGGGCAAGGCGCCCGAGGCGGTGGTGGCAAAGGCGCGCAACGAGCTGGCCGACATGAAGACAAAGCTTGCGGCCGTCCTGGAAGGGCTTGCCAAGCTCTGAGCAGCCCGGCGCTGGGCTGACGCCATCCTCCTGCCGCCGGTCCCCGGAGACGGGAACGGAGGGCTATTCGAGCACCACTGCGCACTGGCACTTCTGGACTCGTTTATACTACTCTAGTGTCTAGACCGTCACATATTACACAAAAACAGAGTGGAGTAAAGTGTAAATATAAAACAAGGCTCGCTCTCGAGGCGATCCCCGCCGGCCCCGCCGCGATCTTTTACTTTTTGTGGATTTGTGCACTGTGCAGCCTCTGCAACCCCGGCCCCTCTCATAGCCGCAGCCGTAGCCGCAGCCCCAACTCTTGCCGCTCTTCCGTGTCGGGTTGTGACGAGGGGTGAGGGGACACGGATTGAAGATCCCTCACACCAAGATCGTGCAGGGCGGGGACACATGTCCCTAAATCCCATCTCGTCTCAGAGTTTGCCCGTTTTATTTATTTATTTAGCCTCTGCAGCGTGCAGGGTGCAGCGCGCTTGTGCAGTGCAGGCCAGTGAGAGCGGATCTCCCGTGGGGGGCGTGCGGCGTCGGGTGTCGCGCGCACGCGTGTGATCACGACACATTCATTTTATGATTCATCATCAGGAGATACATGTTCATGCACATGCACATGCATAGGGAAATCACACCTCCACGCTCCAGTCCTCCACACGCCACAGGTTTTTACGCAGCGCCCAGCGCGGTCGTGGTCCCTTGCGCGCCCCAAGCAACCTGCAAAAACGAGTGGTCAGCGCCTACGAGTGCCGCCCACCCCCGTTCGCACCGGTCGCAGCAGGAGCAGCGCGACCGCGCCCGCTCGTCGATTCGGACAAGGTGCCCGCTCGTCGATTCGGAGGAGGAGACGGGGTCCTGATTGCCCGACCCGTGGTAGAGCTAGAGGCGCAGCGGCGCCTTGCCGAGAGACTGGCGTGCCCATCGCCGTCGCCACCGCGGCCTCCCTCTCGAGTAGGCACTAGATTACAGAGCGCGCGGAGCGCGCCCGCTAGACACCCCACGAGGCAGCGCGCGGAGCGCGCGCCCGCGAGAGACACCAGACAGCGCGCGCCGCTGCACCTCACAAAAGGCGTAGGCGCTGGTTCGCACATCTACTGCAGGTTGGTGCGCGCTCTGGGCGCGTCGGGCTGTGGTCTCTTTATGACACACTTTGTGAGCACAAAACACAGCGGCTTGCGACGCATCACGCATGTCTCTCTTGGTGTGGAGAAAAAGCTCCAGAATGACCTGGCCCGTCACTCTTCGTTTTGTCCTCGCGGTGCACAGCGGTCCGCCCCCCGGCCGGCGCGTGCGTGCCCCTGCCTCGCTTCATCCAGCAGGAGGCCAAAAAGGCAGTCCAGATCTCGGGAGCGATATACAATAGACGGTCTCACGCTCCACCCGTTCGGCGCTGCGACGCGACGAGATCGCGTCGACGTCCCGTCCTCTCTCGGCCCTGCTCACGATGACCAAGCTGATGCCATTGATTGCCATAGGTGGGATAACGCCCCCTCCAAGCCCCTCTGCCCCCCCTTTGTTGTCGACCCACGCCTCCATCCCTGAGCGCTGCGGAGCGAGCCCAGAAGCGTCTCAAAAGTCCCCGTCCGACTCCGAGGCGTCAGACATCACAGCAGCAGAAGCTGCCGCTGCGCCCCGGAGCTGTCGCAGCCCATCCTCGGTCGTCTTCTGCACGTCGGCTAGCGCCGCGTCATGCGTGTCCTTGATGTCGGTCGTGGCCCTGCAAAGCCGCGTGGCAGGCGTGCGGCTGAGGGCTGCGGGCGCCGCAGACGAGAGGAAAGTTTGGCGGCGCGGCGCGCGCACCGGTGGCACTCGCGAAGGGTCGAGCGCATCTTTTTGAGCTGCGGGTCGGTGGCGGCCTTGAGCTTCTCCTCCTTGTTTCCTGAGGCCGGCTTCGGGATCTTCTTGTACAGCGCGCTGATGTCGGCCGACTCCTTGTGGATCCACTGACTAACGTCCTGCGCACGGAGGCAGCGGTGTGCCACGATGGCTGCTCCAGCGATGGCTGCTCCGGTGGCGACACCCAACGGACATCGCCGCTCGTTGGGAGCTGGAGGAGAGACGGAGGTGTGCGCGCTGTGTCGTTCGTTGGCGCGTGCGTGCAGGCGGCGTGCTGCGAAGCGGGGAGGCGAGAGCTTGGGAGGGCACCTTTGCCAGAAGCGCGAGCTGGTCCGAGGCCTTGGAGGCAGCTGGCTTCTTGGTCGCCGTGGGCTTCTTCGCGGCTGGCATTTAGCGAGGAGCGTTCTTGGGCTGATGGCACGCTGTGAATAAAAAATGGGGCGAGGGGCAGTCGCGCGCATTTTTTTTATTCGTTGAGAAACCCCCTTTATACGCAGACGTGAGCTCTCTTCCCTGGAGCCTGCTAGACCATCAGCCGCGTGCGGAGGCTCTCTGCCCCGTTCAAAGTCCGGTCTACTCGAGTAGTAGTGGGAGCACGGGACAGCACGCGCGTCAAGACACCTTGGTCCTTGCCATCGCGCCGCCGCGAGAGAGGTTGCGCGCACCCCATTTTTGTGCAAGAGCCAGGAGCAAGAGACGCGGAGCGGCTCGGAAGCACGCACCAGGAGGGGGAGCTGGGATTTCGGGAGGCAAGAACTGGGCGGCGATACCACACGAGAATAATACTCGACTACAGCGTCCTGCCCGACAACGCTGATATCTACATCCCTCTCGGCCCGGTCATGTCCCCAGCGTGCCTCCTCTGCTGCTGCGGTGCCCGTGGCAGTGGAACCCTCACTCCCAGTCCGACTTGATCTGGAAGTCGTACTTGAACTTTAGGTGCTCCACCTTATCGTCGTCCACAAAGGTCGTTTTCACGTGGTACTGGCCGCGCGCCATGGCGCCTGAGGGGGCCTCCTCCCACTCGCGCTTGGGGAAGAACACTTGGTACACCTGTGGCGGGGGCCGAGGACGGTGAACGGCTCGCGAATGTCTGTGGCTCTCTCTCTCCTACAGCGCACCTGGAGCTTGCTCGGCGCGTAGCTGCCCAGCATCTCTGAGTGTGTGTCGACCTTCATCATTGCGCGCTTGACGACGTGCTTGTACTTGAGGCCCGAGACAATCTCGTTCTGAACTTTGAACGAGAGCTGCGTGCGCGGCGTCCGGGTGGTGAGTGGGTGAACTTCTCCCCTCTTGGATGCCGACTGCACCCTGGCGGCGCGCACCTGTATCCGGTATTTGCATCCCTCTTTGAGGACAAACACCGTGTCCTTCTTGGGCGAGACGAGGTCGAAGACGAGGGGATCTCTGTCTTCGATGAGGATGCGCATCTCCATCAGCACAACATGCCTCGGGTCGTCGGTCTTCTCAAAGCTGTCCTGCTTCAGAAGCGTCATCTTGTACCGCTGCATCGCCTCGTCCTCGCCCTCCTTTTGCGCCATCAGCTCCTCGAGCGTCTTCTTGGCCGGGGCGGCGTGTGATGTGTCGTCGTCGTGTGCCTCGCCATCGGACGAGTCCTCCGCCATCGCTCACCTTTAGACGGACGGCGCACAGAGGGGCGGCTCGATGCCGCGTTTCTTTTTATTTCGGCCTTTAGCCAAAATAGAGAGACGGAAGTTGCCGAAGAAGAGAAAAAACAGCTGATCGCCACACCAGCACCACACCAGGATTTTACAAACAGATTCAAACATAAAACAACAAGAAACACTCAAGGGAAAGAAGATCTCTCTCTCTCTCAAAACTCAAACGACACACAACATAAAACACAACAAAAATCGAGTAAAGATTTCTCTCTCTCGTCACTGTGATCAGGTGCAGGCGAGCTCGCCGCACCGCGCCGCCTCGTCATGGCTTCGCGAGGAAGCCCTTGACCGCGTCTCTCCAGGCGCGGGGCTTCTCGAGCGGCACGGCGTGCGCCGCGCCCTCGATGGGCAGGTGCTCCCAGCCAGCGACGCGGGCGAGGTCGGCGCCACTGCTCAGCGTCGAGAAGGCGTCCTCGGTGCCCGAGATGATGAGCCCGCCCTCGACGGCGCCTGCAGACGCGATCCGGCTGGCGAGGCGCTCTGTGTGGAGCGGGTGCTCCTCCTCCTCTGTCGCCAGCGTCTCGGCGATGATTGCCCCGACCCCCTCGCTCGTGCACTCGCGTGCCAACGCGTCGACCCACTTTGGGACGCGCGCCTCGTGCTCCGCGAGGAAGGAGGACGAGTACGAGGCGAGCGTGATCTGGTAGCCAAAGCCCTGCATGTCGCCCGAGCGCAGCGACGCGAGGCAGCCGCGCAGCGCAAAGCGTCCGCGTGCGGTGCGGCGGGAAGCCACGGCGGTGGAGACGACGCGGCGCACCTGCAGCCCGCCCGAGGCGGCTGCCGCCATCGCCAGGCGGCCTCCGAAGGAGAAGCCCGCCAGGTCGACGGGCCGATCTGCCCAGCCCGCGGCGGCCAGCACGGCCTGCAGGTCGCGTGTGTGCCGTGTGAGGGTCATGTCGGAGAGGTCGTGAGCAACCTTCCCTTGGCCTGCAGTCTCATAGAGGAGCAGCGGCCGGTCTCGGAAGCCAGAGACGTGCGTGGTCCACGAGTCGACCCACTGGCCCGTCCCGCCAATCAAGACCAGAGGAGTGAAGTCAGAGGCGGCCGGAATGAGGACGGCGCGGTGCCCGGCGAGCGCAGTGATGGCTGAAGCTGCACGAGCCGACATCGAAGCCGCGTATTGCGACGCTGAGATGAAAAAGAATTTGCCCCCAGGGGCAGGTGGGCGACGGCTAACAGCACACTCCTCTCCTTAAAATCCTGTGTGGTGGGCATGTTTTGTTACCTTTCTTTTCTTTCCAGCAACGAGTGGAGGCCCCTCCCACCCCACAGGCTACGCCTCCCCTCACCTCCGAGCGGTTCCTCTTCGAGGTCTCGTAAACAACAAGGACGCCGAGTGCGGTGCGTGTGCCTCTCCTCGCAGCCAGCAGCGAGAGAGAGACATATGCTCTCGCTCGTCCTCACGACCGTCGCCGCTTCGCGCGCGCAACGCTCGAGCAATGAGCAGCTCGCAGCCGGCGTGCTGGTCGGCTCTGCCGCGGGCGGCGCCAGCTTCGCGGCGGTGCGGCAGATCAAGACCTCCTACTTTCCTGGCGGGATGGCTTACCGGCCTCTCCTTCGGCCCAGGTTCTCAGTGTCCCAGCAGGCTGCCGTCGCTGCTGGCGTGGCGCTTGCGAGTGGAGCCGCCGCACTCGACCGGGCCTGGCGGCGAGATCCGCTCGGGCAGGGCCTGCGGAGGCTCGGCTCGGCGCCGCTGGACGCAACAGAGCGGATGCGACGCAAGTGGCGAGAGGCGAGGCAGCGGGCAGAAGAGGAGCGACGCAGAGCCTGGCTCCGCGAGCACACACGGCCGGCGCGGGTCATGATCCCTTCCTGAACGTCTCTCCGGCACACATTTATGTAGCGCTCTCGAGTGCCGAGATCACATTATGCAAGAACTCGACCACGCCTTTTCGACATTGTGCAGTATTATACAGTCATCGAAATCTCTAGTCTTTCTTAGAGATTGAGAGGAGTGAGACCTGAAGATTTCAGGGCAGATCTCAGTCTCTAGTCCCGCCCTTGAGATCTCCCAAATCTTCGTCGAGACTTCAGCCACGAAATCTCAGTCTTCCCGTCGCTCGGTGTGAGTTTCTAGAGGAAACGCGTGAGATCTCAAATGGCTAAGATTCCTTTTCGCTTTGGGAGTTTGAGATTTCGATGAGGGGTGGGAGAGACTGAGACTGCAAGCAAGAGAGATTCCGTTTTCGATGCAGAATGCTGTGAACTTCCTCAACCTTCCAACGCCTTTATCTCGCTTCGTTCGAAAAACATCATTTCGGCAGACCGAAATCTACTCGTTTAGGGCAGCGTGACTCGAGATTTGAGATTGAGACTGAAAGCAGCACGCTCGCTTGCAATGCTTGCGCCGCCGCCGCCGCCCATTTCGCCGCCGCCTGAGGCGGTTCTCCACGAAGCTGTGGCCGCTCGAGAGTGAGGATGAGATCGTCGCGCTTCTCCTCGGCATGGCCCGCTACCCAGTCGACACACCCGATCGCGCAGAGGTCATCGCTGCCGACATGCAAACAAAGCACGCGTCCACGACCATCAACGTCCTCGTCAGCAGCATCGAGAGCGAGGCGGGCATCAGCGCTCTCGTGGATCTTCTCGACCCCATGCGCTCCCATGAGCAGGAGAAGTCCACGCCGCTCCACCTGGTCCCTTGAGTTCTGCGCCGTCTGCGCTTTGCAAGGGCAGAAGGTGCGCCTTGTGGTCAGCGACGAGCCCGTCCGTCCAACCGTATACTGCACGCACGGGCGCTTTGGCGGGCTCCTCTACTGCAAGCGCTGCCCAGATTGCCGCGCCAGCACAACCTCTCATATGCCGAGGAGTCACTCGGCTGGCTCAGGGCAAGCAGGTGCCGTATGACGGCGCGATGGATCGGACTCGCAAGTACGTCCAGCTGTCGCGAGACATCATCTTTGAGGGCGAGATGCTGTGGCGCCTCGACACGCAGATGCTCCACTCGCACACCGGCTTTGAACCGTACGCCAAGGAGTGGACGACCTTTGCCGACGAGCCCGCGCCGCAGCTGGTCGAGCCTTTGCGGATAGCGCTGTCCCTCTCATCTAATTCGGCGTAGACCGCGCGCGCAGCGCGCTCCGTGTTTGCAGACCGCCCTGGCGGACTCGTTTACACTTCCAAGCTCAAGCCAGGCGCCGCAGGCCATAAAGAGGAGCGCAGATTAAAATGGCGCCGCAGGCTCCCCGGGCCCCAAATCTCAATCTCAAATCTCAATCTCAAATCTCAGACCTCGGACCTCAATCTCACTGCAGGTCAAACCCGCCCAACCCTTCTAGAAGCTTCGAGGCTCTTGTCTCAGTATTCACGCCGCAAATCTCCAAATCTCAGCTCTCAAATCTCTAGGTTGGAAGCCGTCCAAATCTTCAGTCTCAAATCTTGAATCTCGAGCGAACTCGACCGCAGATTCCTTTTGGTGTGGGAAATCTCATTCTCCAAGTCTCTGGTCTCTAATCCCAAAGTCTCCCACCGGAGGCTGAGTGACTGAGGTCTCAAATCTCAAATCTCTGGTCTCAAATCTCTGGGTAGCACTGTAGACCCGAGTGGAGTCTTTCAAATCTTTAAGCTCTCAATCTCTAAAAAAGACTAGAGATTTCAATTACTCGTATTATAAGTAAGTGGATGCACGACAAACACACGCAAGACTAGGTCCAGCCCTGGGTGAGCCGGGTTGTGACATTTGGCGATTCCGCGGCTTACTGGGTCCCTGAGTCGCTCCCCGTGTGCGATTCTTGTGGCCCAGGCATGGTACTGATAGTAAACGGGTCAGAACCGGCCAAACACAGGCTACAGCCCCCGCGCCCCCGCCATAGCTCCTGGAGAGCATGCGCGAGTGACGCGCTACAAGCCGCGAGAGTGGCATCAGAGGCAGGAACGACGTGCTCTTGCTGCACCTCGCAGCTGCACCAAGTGTGCTCGCAGTGTATGCCACGGCCGCCGCCTGCCGCATTGCTCTCGTGCAGCTAGGCGACGCAGCACGCAGGTCCATCAGCAGGGCTCATCCAATGCGAGCGCACATGTGCGTAGCCGCGGGCAGGTGGCAGTGCACAGCCGCACACCGGCTGTGGCGGCTCGAATGCCCCCGGCAGCAATGCTGGTCATTAACTTGCGTATTGGGGCCGCAGCAGACTGCTGCTGTGGCCTGAGGCTGTGAGCGCGTTCAGACCCGGTGACCGGAGTTGGATGGTTCGATGGACCTCGGGGAGTTCCTTCGAACCATCCATGGCCGGACGGCGGAGCGTGAGGTGGCGAGCGGAGAGATGTACCGCAAGACGAGAAAACACGGATCTGACGCGATGTCAAACGTCAGATCTGGCTCACCCAGGGCTGGACCTAGTCGCAAGACGCATGCGAGGGACCAAGGAGTTACACACCGGACCGACACACCCCTCGCGACGGACGACGCACCCTCTTCAGGTTCACCATAAAAAGTCGACCAGAGAGGGCCCGCGCGCCGCGTCGCCGCCTCCCAGCACAGTCCTTGCGAGGCTCACCGCCGACCTGCCCGCCGCGACGTGCGGCTCGTCTGGCTTGAGCGGGACCACGCCAGCGTCCGGCTCGCGCCCGGCGATGACGTTGGCCGCCTGCAGCCCCGTCACGTACGCCTTCTCCTGCGACCACGACCCGTGGCGGGTGCGCACGAGGTCGCCGACAAAGTAGGCGTTGGGGATGGACGACGAGGCGAGGTCCGGCATCGAGTCGTACGAGCCCGGAAAGTACCAATTGACCGCGTTCGGCAGCTTGACGACGGCGCGGTCGGCGACGCTCGCCGCGCGGCACGGCTCGCCGAGCATCGTGTCGAGGTCTGCCTTGGCCTTGGCCACGATCTCCTCGTCGCTCAGCAGCAGCAGCGAGTTGGCGTGGTAGTAGTCGACCTCGATCACCGAGCCGGGCTCACCGTCCAATGCGGGCGCGTGCAGCTTCTTGATGTCGAACCAGGTCATCCCCACGCCCTCGTCGAAGCCCCAGCACGCGTTGGCCGTGTGCTGCGTCGGCACCTCGCGGTCGAGGAAGAGTCGCGTCGCGAGCACGCTCAGCCCGCGCAGGTTGGCGTACCGCCGCCACTCCGCGTGCTGAGACAGGGCGCGCGAGCCGCGAACCATCCCGTTGAGCGCCGCGGCGCCGACAGCGAGCACCACGTCGTCCGCCTCCACCCGCACCTTCGAGTCGGCCGGCGCGCCGCTCGCGTCGTCGGTCGGCGTGCCTCCCGGCACCAGCGGGCTGCCGCCGGTCGTCCTGCAGACGACGCACTCGATGCGGCCGTCCGAGCCGCACTCGAAGTCGGTAACCCGCGTGGAGGGGAGGAACTGGACGCCGCGCTCCTTCATCTGCTCGACCCACGGCTGGAAGATCATCTCGCCGATGTTGCCCTTGCACCACCGAACGTCGAAGCTCGTCTGGTGCTTGAGCACGAAGAAGTAGGCCATGCCGAGAGCTGCCGCCGCGGAGCACTCTTCGCCCGGAGCAAAGAGGCCGGTCAGGATCATCGGCTCGAAGGCCTCCTTGTACATGCGGCGCGAGACGCCGAGCTTGGTGCACAGGTCACGAAACGAGATCTTGTCGTACTTTGCCCACGCTTCGGGCGAGTCGTCAAACTCGGAGAAGGCGAGCACGAGCGGAGCGGCAGTCGCGCGGTCGAGCGGCGACAGGTTCTGAAAGCGCGTGTACAGCGCCTGGCCGAGTCCGGTCGGCAGCCCACCAGCAAAGGGTCCGGACTCGCCAAACGGCCTCGAGTCGCGGTAGACCGGCCACACCGCCTCGAGGCCGCTCGGCGAGTACTGCCCCTGCTCGGCGTATCCGGTTAGGACGGCGTCACGGTCAAGGCCAATGTCGTCCATCAGCTTGTAAATGTTGCCGTACTCGTCCCAAAAGCCATGCTGGCCAGCCTCGGCGCTGCGGCCACCCGGCGTCTTCCACGAGTCGGCGACGAGGCCACCGGGCCTCGGGGCAGCGTCCACGACCGTCACCTCGGTGCCAGGAGTTTTGGAGAGGTGGTGCGCAGCAGAGAGGCCGCCCCAGCCGGCGCCGACGACGACAACCCTCTTGCAGCAGGCGCGCGATGGCGATAGCAGCAGGAGAATAGCAGGAGAGAGGGAGCGACCCTGAGAGAGGGAGCGCATCGTGAGCGACGAAGGCCACTTCTCGAAGGCCACTACCCGGAACGAAGTAAAGAGAAAAAATCGAGCTTCCGTGTCTTGATTTGCCAATAATACACCTACACACAGATAAATACAGGAGAGTGTTGTCGATAGTGCCGCGTGACATCATAACGCGCGGAACGCTCGTGTGCGGGAGCTGCACGCGCAGACGCCCAAAAGACGTTGCGGCGGCTCCTTACGGTGGATGGCCCCCACCGGCCCTGTCCTCTGCAAGCACCGAGTCGGCTACGTCGGCGTCTGGCGCGGGCGCACAGCGGGTGGCTCGCCAAAGCACTCCAGCTTCTTTGATAACCCACAGCTGCGCCTCCGCATCTCCAACCGGCAGCAGGAGCTGCGGGTGACACTTGCGCAGTCGCCCCTACACCCGGGGGCAGGGGTTCACGCGGTTGGGTTCGTCCTCCTCAGTGCCGACGAGCCTGCGGTCGCTCGCCGCACCCTCGGCACCCCCGGCGGCACGCACGGCTACTCCGCAATTCAGGGCATTCACCCCATCCCCTTTACCTCGGGAGAGGAGAGGGTAGACGTTGTCCTCAAGCTGGAGCGGCTCAAACAGGACTACATACTGGTCCCGTGCACCGACTCGCCAGGGAGCGAGGCCGCTTTTGCTCTCGAGATTCGCTCAAACTATCCCCTCTCCCTCGCGTGCCTCCCAAAGGACGGATCGCCGCTGCCTGACCCCACGGCCGGAGGGGAGCAGGAGCAGGAGCAGCAGCAGCAGAGCACGAGCACCCCGGCACCCTCCGCCGCTGTCGAAATTCAGGGGATGGCCACAGGCATCTCGAGCGCAAGGGGCTACGGATTTGGCAACGTCGGCCAGAGCGGGGTGTCAGAGGGTGAGGCGCTGCTCCAGAAGCTTCAAGCTGCGCAATTCGAGGATGACGCCTTTCACAGCCTTCTGACGGGGTCTGCTGCGGGCAAGGCTGGGCGGGAGGTCGAGTGGAGGAGGCCACGCCAAGTCACGGAGGAGCCGTCTCCGGTGGAGGCGGCCGGCGTCACGACGCTGCTCCACCCGGAGTTGCATGAGCGAGCCGGAGGCGCCCCTCCGGGGCCGAGCGCTGGAAGCTGGATCCTTGGCGCGCTCGCGATGCTTGCCCAGTCCCCGACGCTGCTGCAGCGGTGCTTCGTGCCGGGGGTGCATGGTAAGCGCGGCGTCCTCGCAGTCCGTGTCTGGCACTGGGACAGCTGGCATACCATCCTCACCGACGATCGGCTGCCCGTCGCCAGCGGCCGGCTCGTCTCTGGCGGGTGCGCAGACGCGCGGCAGCTTTCGCTAGCTCTGCTCATCAAAGCTTACGCGCGGCACCACGGGTCGTACGCCGCCTTGCGCACCGGCCGCGTGACGGAGATGCTCGTAGACTTTACGGGCGGCTGCTCCCAAAAGATTGAGCTGGGTGATGATGGCGAGGCGAGCGCCGTCTGGGAGGAGCTGATTGAGATCAGGGATCGCGGTGCGCTGCTCGGCTGCCAACAGCTGGCCGGCGCCGACCGCGCCGTGGAGGCGCAGCGCCTCGGCGTCCGCACGCAGTCGACCTACGTCATTCTCGAGCTCGTCGAGCTCTCGGGCCTGCGCTTGGTCTGCCTGCGCAACCCGTTCCTGGAGCCACGCTGGCGAGGAAAGTGGCGAGCGGGCGCCCCAGAGTGGTTCGAAGGTGGCGACACGTCGCCGCTGCTGGGGCTGCAAGAGAGCGGCAGCGAGCACGCCGGCGCCGCAGTGGCGGAGGACGAGTCGGGCGTCTTTTGGCTCAGCCTCGAGGACTTTGTGCGCGTCTTTGATCGCGCCCACGCGTGCCGTACCTTTAGCCGCAGCACTCCTCGCGCGGTCGTGTTTGGGGAGTGGGATGCCGGCAGCGCGGGCGGCTGCCTCAACTACCTCTGCTCCTGGCGGCGGAACCCGCAGTACGTACTGCAACTCCCCTGCGCCGCTCGGGTCTTCATCGCCATCACCCAGCCGCCTCTCCTCGGCTCGATCGGGCAAAGAGACTACCTCTCCATCGGCGTGTGTGTGCTGCGGGGCGATGGGCGCCGGCGGCTCCTCACCGTCACCCGGGATTCGCTCCTCGGCGCCTCTCCCATCTCCGACACCCGCGAGGTGAGCTTCTCCCTCTCGCTGCCGGCGAGCACCGCGGAGGCGCCGCACATCGTCATACCGTACACCTTTGAGCCCAACGAGACGGGCGCGTTCAAGCTGTCTGTCTGGGCGGACGTCAAGTTTGGGCTTTCCCCCCTGGCGCAGGAGGACGAGTGGTGCCACACCGCGCTCGCCGGCGAGTGGGACGCATCGAGCGGCGGTGTGCCCAACCCGGGCAACAGCCGCTGGCAGGTGAACCCCCAGTGGGAGGTGGCGCCGCTCAGCCAGCCGACCACGGTCACAATCGTGCTGGAGCTCGCTCCTCCGCCGCACCCCGACCAGCCTACGCCGCTGGCGCTCGGCTGCCTTGTGCTCCGGGGCAGCAAGGCGAGCCAGCAGGTCGATCTCATCGGGCCGGACGACGTGTTGGCGCAGGCCGGCTTTGCTCGCGCCGCGCAAGTGACCTGTTGCGTCACGCTGCCCGCCTCGGACGAGCCGTGCTGCCTCCTCGCGTGCACCTTCGAGCCGGGCCAGGAGGCCGCTTTCCGCCTGCACCTCTACACTGACCAGCCCATCAGCGCACGAGCAGTGCAGCCCGACGAGGTGCAGAGCGCACCGCTGGGCACGTCGGTCGCCGGGTCCTCCTTCGCCATCGACAGCGCTGCGTCCGAGGCGATTGCGGGAAGCCAGCAGCCTCGCACGGACAACGCCGGCGAGGCGGGGGAGAGCGAGGCGGGCGGGGCCGAGGCCAGCGAGCGCCCTCGGGATGTGCCCACGGCCCAGCCGCCTGAGGAGGAGGAGGCCGCCGACCAGGACACGGGGCACGGGCGGGCGACGGCGGCCTCGGGCGGCCCGCTGCGCCTCCTGAAGAAGCTGCCGTGGAGGCCGGGCACGCCGAAACGCAGGGGCGCGAGGCGTCGGGGCGGCTAGTTGAGTGTGTGCCAAAGAATTAGTGAAAAGGGGGTCAGGGCTCTCTAGCCCGTAGCCCGATGCCGATCATCCGGCCCGCTGGGTGCGCTTCTTAGCTCCCCGGCCCTGGATGTGAGGTTGATGACTGCACTCTCCAAGTGCTCCAAGTGCTCAGAGAAAGAAAGAAAGAATTTTTTACAAAGAAACTCCCTCGCACGACACTAGGCACGGGACTGGCGCGCACTGGCACCAACGGCACAGGTACACCACGGGAGCCGCCTAAGCGACTCCCGCGAGGACGGCGAGGCACTTAGCTCCGTGCACTCGACCGCCCTCGCCGCAGACTGAGGCAAGCTCATTCACAATCTGCTCTGCGATGCGGCCGTGTGAAGAACGACTGAGATGCGCTGCTTCAAAGAAAGAAAACAGACAACCCAAGGGAGGGTGGGAGGGATGGGAGGACGGCACGCCACCACCACACAGGGATTTTAAGGAGAGGAGTGTGGTGCTAGCCGTCGCCCACCCTGACCCTTGGGTCGTCTGCCTCTTTCTATCTCCCTTCGCAGTCCCTCGCTGATTCTCGCTGCAACCTTCATGCCACCTCGCGGTCGTCCCACTCTCGTCGTTCTTTCCCTTGTCACTTCCTCCTCTGTCGCGTCGCTCTCCTCTGTCTCTCTGCCTCGTTCTGCGACGCCGCCGCCGCCTGCCGGCCCCTTTTGTTCTCGCGGCTTCTTGCGCCTTTCGTCGCAGCTCTGCCCTCCTCGCGGCATATTTTAGCCCCTCGAGTTTATCGAGCTCTCCTCGCGCAAGGACGACTCTTCTGTGCGCCCACTCCGATCATTTGCCGCCAAGTCATATCGTTGCTCAAGTCCACTCTCTCTTCGAACACTTGTACTTCCACAGATGATGTTGGCGCTGAGCCTGAGGTCCCCTTCGGTTGTATCGTAAAAGAAAGAAAGAAAGAAAACAGACAACCCAGGGAGGGATGGGACGGCACGCCGCCACCACACAGGGATCTTAAGGAGAGGGGTGTGATGCGCTAGCCGTGCCCACCCTTGGGGTGAACCGTGCCATCCTCGATCGCCGTGCAAAGCTCGCTTCCGAGCTCTCACGCCGCGCGTAGGGCCCTTAGGTGCCTAGAGAAACACAACCCCCTCTCTCTTTTCTCCCAGTAAGCTAAAAGTACAACCAAGGGAGGGATGGGAGGACGGTTGTATCGTAAGAAAGAAAGAAAGAAAACAGACAACCCAAGGGAGGGATGGGAGGACGGCACGCCGCCACTTGTATCAAAAGAAAGAAAGCAAACAAACATATTTTTTTTGCTGCTCGTCAGCTGCGGCCAGCGAGCTCCATTCCACTCGCCGATAAATATGTCACGGTTCCTGCTCCTACTGCTCTCGGCCGCCTCCACCGCTGGCAAAGCGGCCGTCAAGAGCAAGTCCGACGACTGGAAGTCGCAGATGCTCTTTAGCGAACGCCTCATCGCCGGCGCCGGCGCCCGCGGTGTCGCGCAGACGATGCTGCACCCGATCGACGTCCTGCGCACACGGCTGCAGGCCAAGGGGGTGGCGGTCACGCTCAACGCCGAGACGTTCGCCAAGGGCGTGGCACCGCAGTTCTTCCTCGCCTTCCCGGCGGGCGCCACCCAGTTTGCCGCCTTTGAGTGGGCAAAGGAGCGCTTTGCCGCCGCCGGCATGAAGGGCAGCTTCGCCGAGCTCTCGTGCGGAGCGATCGGCGCGATCGCCGCGTCGGTGATCCGGGTGCCGCAGGAGGTGATCAAGCAGCGCGTGCAGGCGGACATCTACCCCAACGCGCTGGTCGGCGTCTCAAAGTGCTTTGCGACGGACGGCATCGCCGGCTTCTACAAGGGCTACTTCGCGACCGTCTCGCGGGATGTGCCGTGGAACGCGCTCTCCTTCATGTTCTTCGCGCAGGCGAAGAAGGCGTACAAGCTCTTTACTGGCCGCACGCCTGAGGGCCAGGAGAACCTCATGCTCGGCGCCGCCGCGGGCATGACTGCCGCCGTCATCATGACTCCGATCGACGTGGTGAAGACGCGCCTGATGACCGGCGGCGCGAGCGGCGGGATCATCGGCGTGATGAAGTCGATCATCGCCGATGAGGGCGCGGCCACGCTGATGAAGGGCGTCCTCCCGCGCGTCGCCTTCCTCGCGCCGCTCGCCGCCCTCACCCTCTCCCTCTACGAGGTGTTTGGAAAGATGCTGGTCTCCTCGCGGCTCGAGATCGCGTCGAGCGAGCTCTGAGAGCGCGGCGGGGGCTGCGAGCGTGCAGCTGCCGAGCCGGGTGCGGACTGAGCTCTCTGAGGTCTGTGAGCTCCGAAACAGGTCCTCTCAGCGTTTGACACCCAAATCACAAACAGTGCATGGGGGAGGGGGGGGGGGGGGGGCGTGGTTGGTCCCGGAAGGGGATAGTCGCACTTTACCCGCAGCAGACCCGCAGGGAACCCACAGGGTTGAGAATGGCCTTCGGCAGCTTTCGGCCGCTGGCGATGCTCTCCCGGCTCTCTTTCGCCCGCAGCGTTCGCTGCCTCCGCGCGCGATCCTGCGCGTCGGCGAGCGCCGCTGAGACAGCTTCCACCGCCGTATCTGCGCAGCTCTCGCTGCCAGAGGCGTACGACACTCTGCTCACGTCCGGTCTAAATAGTGACCCGGCGCAGCGAGACCTGTGCTACGCGCTGGAGGATCTGAGGAGCCGGGTGAACGCGCACAGGGAGGCCTCGCAGCACTATGCCGCGGAGCTGGCGGACTGGCGCCGGACTTGCGCCAGGCTCCAGGCCGAGGCGGACGCGGCAGAGGAGGCTCGCGCGAGGGAGGCTGCAAACGCACCGGCGTGGCGCAAAGCTCTGAATGCAATCCGCGACGCGGTCACGGGCGGTGCGGCCCTGGTGCCGGCGTCGCCGGCGGCGGTGCAGGGCTGTAGCAGCGGAGGCTGCGGCAGCGGAGGCGGTGGCTCGTGCAGCAGCGGAGCGCACGGCCCTGCCACCGCCTCTGCGTCCGAGGCGGGAGGCGGCGGCGGCATCGTCGAGCGGGAGTCGCCGCACCTGAAGCTGCGGGTGGCGCAGGCGCAGGCGCACGAAGACAGCGGCGCGCCCTACCGCGACTACGACGTGCCCGCCGCGCTCGGCGAGGCCAACGCGGGCTCACACCAGCCCCTCTCGAGCGAGGAGCTGGCGCACCCGTTCTGGCGGACGGGCCTCGGGTCTGCAGCCGGCGCGGCGGAGGCGGCGCAGCGGGCAGAGAGTCCTTCGCAGCGCTGGCCCGCGCACCGCCTCCCGCCGGGCGCTCCGCCGCCGCCCGAGCGGCCGCCCGCGCCGCGAGGCCTCTTCATCCATGGCAACGTCGGCAGCGGAAAGACGTTGCTGCTCGACCTGCTCGCGTCGGCGCTGCAGGCGGACGCACTCGCTGACGGGGGCTGCCCTCTCTCGCTGCGGCGCGTGCACCACAACGCCTTCATGATCGAGTGCCACCGCAGGCTGCACGCCCACACCGAGGCGCGCTACCCATCGAGCCACGGCCGCGAGCGCCACAGCCCGCCTGCACCCCCGCCACAGCCCGCCTGCACCCCCGCCACAGCCCGCCTGCACCCCGCCACAGCCCGCCTGCACCCCGCTCCCCTCCCCTACTCTACCCCATGCATGCTGCCTCGCCCCCCGAGCCGCGGCCGCCGAGCCGCAGGCGCTCGTCGCCGAGATGCGTGCGGCGGAGGCGGCGGCGCAGGCCGCCGGTAGCACTCGTCGGTCGGAGGAGTGGTGCGGCGAGGACGAGGCCCTGTCTGTGACGTCGCGCGCGCAGCAGCAGCCTGCCTCCGAGGCGGGGTGGGGGCAGGCGTGGGGGGCGGGGGGCGGGGGGGCGACGGTGCGCAGCGTGATGGAGCTGCTCGTGGACCGCTTCGTGAACGAGCGCGGCAGCGAGGTATCGCACGCGGGCGAGTCCTTTGCTGAGGCGCCGTCTCCGCCCCCGCCTCTCCCCCGCCTCTCCGCGCCTCCCTCCGCCTCTCCACGCCTCTTCCCTCCGCCTCTCAGCGCCTCCCCCCGCCTCTCCACGCCTCTCCCTCCGCCTCTCCGCGCCTCTCCCTCCGCCTCTCCCTCCGCCTCTCCCCGCCTCTCCCCGGCGAGGCGCCGCCCTCGCGCCTCCCGCCGCCCGTCACGCCTCCCGCCGCCCGCGAGCGAAGGCGATGCGGAGCATCTCGGCCGAGATTGTCGAGGCGCGGGTCGGCGTCGTGAGCGGAGGGGCGTGCGTCACCGGCCCCGGAGAGGCGCCGCTCGTGCTCGACGACGTCGGCCGACCGGTGAGCGCTTGCAGCGGCAGAGTGGCGCGGGAGGGGCCTGGGGAGAGGCCAGCTGTGCTCACGCTAGCTGCCCACGCCGGCTGTGCACGTGCGTGTGTGTGGCGCAGGTGAGCGTCGGCGTGCTCTGCTACGACGAGGTGCAGATGATGGACATCGCAGACGCGACCGTGCTGCGCGGCGTGCTCCAGGCGCTCGTCGGCGCGGGGTGGGTCCTCGTGGCAACCTGCAACCGCACGCCCGCCGAGTTTGCGGCGTCGACGATGCAGCGCGAGCACCCGCAGTCTCGCTTCGCCGAGGCGATGGCGGAGCACTGCGACACGCTCCAGCTGGGGGACGGCGTGCGGCAGTCGCGAGGCCTCGAGCCCGCCTCGCGCCTGCCCCCTGACTTTGCGTTGCACGCGCGTAGGCTCGCGCGACTACCGTGAGGGCCAGCTCGCCGCGCCGCAGCCGTCCTACTTTTGCCCGTGCGAGGGCGGCAGCGCGGTGCCCAGCCCGGCGGCGCAGCTCGACCGCTGCTTCGTCGACTTGACGGGCGGCGCCGCGGCGGACGAGGAGGTCGCGATCGGCGCGGGGAGGAGGATGCGGCTCGTCTCTGGCCGCGGCGTCGCCCGCGCCTCGTTCGAGCGGCTGTGCGGCACCGCGCTCGGGGCGGGAGACTACGTCGCACTCGCGCAGCGCTACCACACGCTGTGCGTCGACGACTTGCCGCAGATGTCGCTGCGGCAGCGCGACCAGGCGAGGCGCTTCATCACGCTGGTCGACCAGCTCTACAATCACAAGACACGGCTCGTCGCCTCCGCCGCCGTCCCAATCGGTGACCCCCCCCCCCCCCCCCCTTACCAGCCGCCCCAACCCGCCCCTTTACCAGCCGCCCCAACCCGCCCCTTGACACCTCCGCTCCGCCCCCCCCCGCCTTGCCAGGCGAGCTCTTCTCGGGCGCGGCGGGCGCCGGCGTGATCGCACAGGCGCGCGCGAGCTTGCTCGAGGGCGTCGAGTTCGAGGGCGAGGCGGGCAAGGCCGCCGAGCTCAACCCGCGAGGCGTGACGGCAAACTCGCTCGAGACAAACTACCAGGGCCTCCTCAAGACGGGCGCCGTGGCGGCCGACTCGCGCAAGGTGCCCTCGCACTCGCACGCACTCGCACGACGGCGCTTCGAGCCCCTGCCCTCTTGCGCGAGCTCAGACGCCGCCTCGCCGCTAGGCGCTCTTCACGGGCGGAGACTCGCTCTTCACGGGGGAGGACGAGACCTTTGCCTTCCGGCGCGCCATCTCGCGCCTCAACGAGATGCAGTCGGCGCAGTACCTCGCCGCCCGGAGCCGCACGCGCGCTGCGAGGTGAGGCGGGGCCGGGGTGGGAGCCTAGGCGGCCTCGTAAGACGACACACCACCCGGGACAAGCATCGGGCGAGCGCTGCTCGCCTTCCCGGCTGGGGCGGACCGGTGGTTTGAGTGGTGCTCACGGGTTGCAATGCGCTGGTGGTGTGCGTGTACGTGTAGTGAGGACGCAGCTTGTATGTTCTCGTGGGGGTGAGAGGGTCCAGGGGACGCGCAAGGCAACTGGGAGTCCCAGTCGGCGCAGGGAGCAGAGCGGGAGACCGTGAGGCTGCTCTCTGAGCGATGACACACTAGCAGGGGCATCAACCATCATGATTGCCATCGGAGTCACTTGTATACGACGCCGCCACGCTCGCAAGGCACAAGGGCCGCCTAAGCGCCTAAGCACCCTAAGCACCCCCCGCTTAGGCCGCTTAGGCGCTACCTTAGGCGAGTGACGGCCGGCTGCCCGGGGCCTGGCGTGCCTCCGGGTGGGGTGAGCGCCTGGGAGAGCCACTCTGCAAGTGGTGTGCGAGCGTGTAGCCTTTAGCATGCAGTCGGCCTTAGTAGACCGGAGGGCTACGAAGCCTTCACTCCAAGGGGCTGGTCTATAGAGATCTATATCGGGACCACAGCCTACACCCGCCCACAGGAACTCTGTGCCCCGGCGCGCTGCCGCACATGTGCATGCACATGTGTCCTTGGACCTTGCCTGTGCTCAAAATACATAAATAAAGCAGACACCTCAATTGGGAGATGGGTAAAATGGAGCAAGTCTCCCTGCCCTTGCGATCTTTGTGTGCAGGCGTGCAGGGTTCTTTGTGGGTGTCGTGGTCGGCGACTAGCCGGGGTCGTCCGCTCCCGGCCGGGACTAGCACTAGCCGTCTTCCACATGGTCCCTCGCGGGTCCCTGCTGCTCCTAATCTCTTCGTACATCCTCCTGCTGATCTCCGCAAAGTCGCCTGCTCCCCCTCCCTCGTCTCGCCCTGCGCGTCTGCTCCGCCTCCCTGTCGTCTGCCCTCTGTGTCGTCTGGCGACGGGTCCTCCATAGTCGGTTGCGGTCGCCGCCCTCCTTATCGTGCCTCTTCCCAACGTTCCCTCGGCGGCTGATGACGTCTGTGCTCAAGAAACTGGATCGAATGCATTTAATGATGCCGGGTACATGGCTCATGGGACGCCCGCCCTGGGTTCGGCGGCCTACCCGGATAGTGCTTAGTGGCGGGGTCTTGTTGACACTGAGTAGCGCCAAAGCGCCCCACTGCCTACCTGTTGCGGGCGCCCACCGCCAGGCTCCGTGCCCCACCGTACCTACCTATTCCCAGCCGTGCAGCGAAGCGAAAATACCCGTTTGCCCCCCCTTTGTGAATAAGGGCTCCGGCCGGCGGGTTGGCTTGGCGGCTTTTACCATTCCGGGGGTGCAGGGCCTCTCGGGAGCCTGCCAGAGCAACCATGACCTACTGGGTTCTCGAGGGGATGGACGGTTCCAAAACGGGGGGGGGCAGCATTTTTTTTGCCCCCCCCCCCCCCCCCCTCCTCCCCGGGCGGTCAAAATCGGGCCTCCCTACCTATTGCGGTGCTCCACCGCTATTCTACCTCGGGACCTCGGGACAGACCCTCGTGACTTCGGCCCCTCGGGATAGACCCTCCTGGCTAACCTCGAAATGTGCACCTGGGATGAGACTGCGCTCCCTGTTTCACAGCCATCCTTAAAGTCACGTGGCTGCAATTAAAGCATCCTAGCCACTCCGCGCTCCCAAGCACGCGCTATCTTGGCTGCGCACCAGCCAGTGCAGCCAGCGTGCGTCCCAGCCATCCGCCCGGCCGCAAGATGGCTAGCAAGATGGCTGTCATACAGCCGTCGCAGCCATCGCGCATCGGCCGGAGATGGCTGGAGAGATAACGACGCCAGCCATCCAGAACAAGGGCGGGTGGCTCGCGGAGCGAGAGGGAGCCACCTGCACTCGTGTCGGGGGCGGCGAGAAGGCTGGGTAAAATTCGGTATTCGCGACAGCCATCCTCCGCGGCCGATGGCTGCGACGGCTGTATGACTGGGCGGAGTGGCAAGGAAGGATGCTGTATGCAGCCATGATGGGCTGCCATGTGACTTAAGGATGGCTGACATGCCTAGATCTCACCCATTCGCGGTAGGAGGGTATGGCTGAGATGCCAGCCGGTGGTTGGCCGACCCTCCTCGGAGCCCGAACCCCGCGTCAGCCCCTTTTCCAAATGGCCATCCGCGTGCCGCTGTGGCTTGTGCTCTCCACCTTTGCCGCGTTCGCCCTGCTCCTCCGTCTGGAGAGCTCTGCAACAGCGCCACCGCCAGGGTTGGAACCAGGCGAGCTGCCCACTGCGCGCTTTGGACTAGTCCACGTGCCAAAGACGGGAGGGCTTGCGGTGCGGCATGCACTCGGCGACCGGTGCGACGACATCGTCATCGAGAGGCGGGCGCACTCGACGGCGGAGAGCGACGTGCTCAAGGTGGGGCTCCGGCCGCTGGTCGTCCTTCGCGCGCCACTCGAGCGGCTGCAATCCTCGTTTGACTTTTGGCAGCAGGGCTCGAGCGAGCTGTCCGCTCTCTCGCGCGGCAACCCGCAGGCCACGCTCCTTCTCAAGCCGGCGCGTCGGCTCCCGTGGAAAAGCTTCCTCGATGGGCTGCTCAACGGCTCGTCGCCGCACCGCGCGACGGCGCAGCTTATCGTCAACGCGCCACAGGCCCTCGCCAGCTGGGCATGGTCGGCGCACTTTCACCCTCTCCGCCGCTTCGTCGACAAGGAGGACCCGAGATCGGTCTACGTGTGCTACTCGAGGCGGCTGCTCGCACAGCGGCTCGCCTGCATGGCGGCGGCGGTCGGCGTGCGCTGCCTCTTCAACGCCACCGGCAACGTCAACCCGACCCGCCGCCGGAAGCGCGCCGCCTCCGCCGAGCCGGTGGTGCCGCCCCACCTGCTGGCGCCGCTGCAACGGTACCTGAGCGACGACGAGGCAATCTTCCGGCGCCACTGCGGCGCGTGCGCCGCGGAGGCGAGCTGCTGCCACTCTGGCCGCGACGCCGCCGGAGGAGCACAAGGCCGCCGGCCGCGCGACCTGCACAGCACGTTTCCTGTGAAGTGAATACTGGGGCCGTGAGCGCGCTATATCAGAATGTGTGTGTATCAAAGAGGTCGATATGCTCTGGGACACGGACTTTGGGACACCGCACCTCGGACCAACGGAGGCGTGAGAGGAGACGGAGCGAGCCCCCAATTTTGCCAACAGCGCCCCCACATATGCGCATATTGCGCAATCGCCAAAATCCCGCGTGCGGCGACGGAACTTTTTTGGAGAGGCGAGAGCGCGCGGATCTCTCTCTCTCTCTCTCGCGGAGCCGACTCTACTCTCTTTTTTTGCATAGGTTCGTGCCGCGACCAGTTGTGTCGTATGGGGTGTACAAAGGGCCGGCCCGATTCGGGAGACCCGTCGAGGGATCTGGACAGCTCGAAGGTGGGGACGATGAGCTGCGGCTCGCGTTTGGGCAGGGGCTGTGGGGCGGCAGACTGCCAGACGACTGGCAGGTGATAGACGCGGAAATGTACGCGGTGCTGGCTTACCTGCGTAAGATGGCAACGGCGGAAGATGCGGCGGACAGGAGGTGCCTCGTCTTGAGCGACTGCAAGCCCGCGCTACAGCAGATCGAGGCGGCGTACCGAAAAGGCTCTCTTGAGGGGCTCCGGGAGTGGGATCGAGGGGATATGCCGATATCGCGCCCAGCTTGAATCCGTCACGTTCCTGTGGGTACCGAGCCACGCGGGGTGCGCTAGCAACGCCTACGCCGACGCCGCGGCGACGGCATACATGGGGGCCAGCGAGATTGAGGATGCCACCGCCGTCATCCGGGAAGCAGTGAGGACACGCCCGTGCCTGTACACGGACCGCCGGAGGACGGCAGACGGAGAGTGGAGGGGAGACGTACTGGACCGGAGGACCTATTACGCCACACGCGGCCACACGAACGAGTGGGTGCGAGGACGGCTCGGCGAGGGGCTCACGGCGGGGTCGCACACGGCAGGGGTGACGGGGCCGCTGTGGAGCGATGTGGTCAGGGGAACGACGAGACACAAATGGGACAAGCGCCAGCGGATCAAGGATCTGCACGGCGAGCGCGAGATTGATTCGCCGACGTGGATGATCATAACGTGGTGACAAAGACCGTCATGGGAGCGCGGGTGCGGCAGCAGGCGGGGGTGCCACACGGAGCGCACCACGAGAGGATCATGCGGGGAGAGGCGGGGAGAGAGACCCCGGGCGCCGCCACAAGGAGCGAACTCAGGGGCTGCCTCGTCTGTAAGGCCGCGAGGGACGCGGCGAGGAGGGCAGCACTAAAGGTAAGCGGGACCCGCTGTGTCCGATCGTGCGGAAAGCCGCGCAGCAATGGACCGAGGAAGACGAGAACCCGCCTAGAGCAACGATGGCGCACTTGCTTAGCGGCGCCTGCCTGGGGAATAGGGAGCAGGCCAGATGGTTCCTCAGAGTAGCGCGAGCGCAGACGGGGACGGCGATCAGCAAAGTAGCACAGGCGGCACCCGACTCCAAGGATACGCTGAAGACGCTGAGGATGGCGCATGTCGCTGCGCTGAAGGGCTCACGCTATAGGGTGCTGGATGAGGACGGGTACGATGCACTAGCCCCAGCCGTCGGGGGGGTGTTGCCGGCGCTGGTGGATGATCTCTCGGAGAGGAGTCGGAGGGACCTTGGCGCCGGGGTTACGAGGAACTTGCAAGTCGTGGCCGAGGCGGCGACGGGAGCGGTGCAGAGGTGGATCCAGCTCAACGATGAGGCTACCGCGCGCATAATGAAGAGAGAGGAACACATCGAGTGGCTGAGGAAGCTCTTCGCTGGGTGGAAGGAGGCCCGGCCGGCCTTGAGGGAGTCGCGGAGGAGGAGGGATAACGCAGGCAACGCAGGGACGGGCCAACAGCCTGTGGGAGAAACGAGGGCCGCGACGGCGGCTCAAGCGGGAGGGAGCTGAGACAGTGGGCAGCGAGCGAAGTGGGTGAGACTGATGATGCTCCTTCGACTTAGGGAGCGGTTCAGCTGCTGGGCGGGCTCAGGGTGGTGCTCACGCGAAAAGGAATCGACGCATAGGAGAAAGAAGACGAGGGACACAGAAACTAGCGCAGACGAGAGCAGGGCAGACCCGGGGACTGGGGAGCCGGAGCAGACGGCATCGGCCGCCGAGGGAACGTTGGGAAGAGGCACGACACGAGGAGGGCGGCGACCTCAACCGACTATGGAGGACCCGTCACCAGACGACGCAGGGCAGACGACGGTGAGGCGGAGCAGACGCGCAGGGCGAGACGAGGGAGGGAGCAGGATGTTGCGAAGATCAGCAGGAGGCTGTACGAAAAGATTAGGAGCAGCCGGGACGACCCGAGGGACAATGTGGAAGACGGTAGACGCGGCTAGTGCTAGTCCCCCATCGGGAGGACGACCCCGGCTAGTTGCCGACCACACCCACAAAGAACCCTGCACAAAGATCGCACGGGCGGGAACGTACATTAAACTGTTCCTTTTACCCATCTCACAGACACAGTAGAGAGGTGACAGGTGTGTGTCCGCTTTTATTTATTTATATTTCCTTTTTTGGATTTTGCCGGAGCAGCGCGTAGGCGCGGGTTCTTGTTGAATGTGATTCATATGAGCAAAATAGGTAAAAGAAGAGTAGCGTCTCCCTGCATGGTCCCTCCCCACCGTCGGACTCGCACACACTCGCTCCCTCCCCACAAACCACACCCACGCCCTCGCCCCGCTGCCACCACCACCACTCCCAATCGCGCCCCGGGTCACACACACACACACACACACACACACACACACACACACACACACACACACACACACACACACACACACACACACACACATCCCTCCCCCTCAAGCGATCCTGCCGCCGCCGCCGGTGCGGACGTGCAGCTCCGCGAGAGTCACTGGCCAGCCCGCGCCAAAGCACTCGCCATCAGCGAGGAGGCCTCGACCATCCTCCCCTGCTCCTCCAGCAAGGCCACCTGCGCCATTATGCTGTCCAGCTCGCTCTCCACCCCCTCTTCCCTTTGCCCCCCGTTGGCCTCTCCGTTGGCAGCGCTCGCGCCGGCCGCCACCGCCCGCGGCCGCTCCGTCGGAAAGCTCGCTGCGGCGGCGGCCGCCCCGACTGGCGGCGCGGCCGCACCGCTGGCGGACGGTCTCGCCTCGTCCAATGCGCTGCTGCTCGCGGCGGCCGGCGCGGCGATGACCGCCTTGCGCTTGCCGTTTGCCTTGGAGGGCGAGGCTGCGGATCGGTCGAGCCGAGGCTGCGCGGGGCAAACTGCAGCGACGGGCGCGGTCACCGGCGCGGCCCCGGCCTGGCCAGCCTGGCCGCTCTGCGATGGCGGCAGTGCGGGCGACACGTAAGCGGAGCGCGAGTAGGCTGGCACCTCGAGCGGCAGGTCCTCCTCTTCGAGTATGAGGCGCTGCCGGCTGCAGAGGGACAAAGGGGGAAGGTGGGTGAGGGCCGGTCGCGCGCGCCGGAGGATCCCAGGCGGGGCGAGAGTCGCACTTTAGAACCGCGTCGTCGTCGTCCGCGCTCACGCCGCAGATCGATCCGAGCCGCCGGAGAAGATCCTGCTTGGAAGGCGCCATTTCCCGCAGGCTCGGAGCCAGCTCGCGCAGGCTCGGCGCCTGAGCAACCTTGTCCTCGACATAGTCCTTTAGGCTCGAGGACTTGTCCTCGATGATCTCCTTCCAGCGGTGGATGTCTTCCATCCGAACGCAGGGCTCCTCGTGTGCTTCCGCAGCACCGCGCGGCGTGTGGGAAGCCAGAGAGGAAAAGAATTTTACGAGAAATCTCCCTCGCACAACACTGGGCACGGGACTGAGGAAAAGAATTTTCGCGGGAATTCCTTGCCGGCACTTGCTTATAACAGCCTCACAATCCGGCCGGCCAAGCGCGGCCGCGCACCAAGCCCCGAGTCGACAGGAACGCGCTTTCCGCGCGCGGGCCGCCGCGGCGTTCCCGCTCCTCTTCGCCCGACGCGCCGCCTGCGAAGCGGGCCTCTTCTGCCGGCTCCTCCGTTTGCGGCTACGACTCCGAGGCGCCGGAGGAGATCCAGAACGAGGCGCTCTACCGGGCCTGCCGCGCGTACGGCTTAGGTGAGCAATTCCTCCGCTGCGGCGCAGGATGACGAGGGCACATTCGGCGAGTGGCTCGACGAGCTACCCTTCGAGGTGGCTGCGGCGACCGCCCGGCTGCTCAAGCACCACGCGCGCTCCGGCGCGTGGGTCGAGATCTCGCCCGGCAACCCTAGCCGGGCCCCGCGCGCTGGCCGCGACCGCGACCGCTCGAGCCCGAACTGCCCGTCAGACATGTCGGAATTGTCGGAGAATAGCGACTAGCACACCTCTGTGTCCTCCCATCCCTCCCTTGGGTTGTCCGTTTTCTTTCTTTTTTCTGTGTCAAGAGTCCCCAGAACCCAAGGAGTCACACAGTCCACCTGTGTGATGCACGCCCTGCGAGCGGGGCGGGGTGCGCACTGTCCCTCTGTGTTCGTGTGCGTCGCCCATCTCTCCATGGAGATGACTGCTCTTTTATATTCCTTATAACAGCAGTCACGAACACCCGAAGGGGATCCCAGCGCCAGCATCATCCGTGGAGGTACAAGTGTTCGAAGAGAGAGTGGACCTGAGCAACGATATGACTTGCCGCGGCAAATGATCAGTGAGCGTCAGAAGAGTCGTCCTTGCGCGAGGAGAGCTCGAACGAGGCAGAGGAGAGCGACGCGACAGAGGAAGAAGCGACAAGAGAGAGAACGACGAGAGTGGGACGACCGCGAGGTGGCATGAAGCCACAATGAAGGTTGCAGCGAGAATCGGCGGAGAGACTGCGAAGAGAGATAGGAAGAGGCAGACTCCCAAGGCCAAGGGTGGGCGCGACGGCTAGCGCATCACACCCCTCTCCTTAAAATCCCTGTGTGGTGGCGGCGTGCCGTCCTCCCACCCCTCCCTTGGGTTGTCTGTTTTCCTCCTTTCTTTCTTTATAACAGCAGACCCAACCGACCCGGTGCAAAAACACACATCGTGACGGCTCACGGGAGCGGGTGCGGCTCGTGCCAACCGGTGCCGCCGCCGCCGTCAGAGATTTTCAGTTAGTAATCTAGAATGTGGTAAGAACATTCCCGAGGGTGACTTTTCGGGAAGGGCATCGCAGAGGAGCCGCTGGGAGCCGCAGCAAAGAACAACGGCTTTTGTTACAACGAGACTCTTTTCAGAAGCAAGGGCTCGTGACACGTGAGAGTACCGTGCGCGAGAACGAAAGACGAACGCCCTTCGGTGTGTAGACGTTACTGAGGTCCGCCCCTGCCGCAGCACCCCGGTGGCGGCCTCGGCCCCGCTCGGGCTCTCGGCGCGACGCTATGATCCCGGCGTATTCACTCCAGCGGGTTGTATATTGACCTGAAGAGCTTGCCCGCACTGTCCGGCGTGACGTGCACCACCATCGGCACCTCCAGCACCTCGTCGTCGCCGTCTAGCAGCGTGGCCTGCGGGTGGGAGGGACGGGGCGGGGCATCTGTCGCCGCGGCGCTCCGTCGCGGGCCCGGTGGGAGCGCGGCGGCGCCGTCATCAGCCCGACGTTGCAGAGGATCGCCCGCTGCAGGTGCATCACGTCGAGAGAGTCGCGGTGGAACCTCATCTTACCCGGCCCCTCCGGGTAGCGCTGCGCATCCGTCGAGCCAAGCTCGACGACCTTGCACGAGCCAGCCGTGTCGGCGACGAACTGCGGCGCACACGGGCAGGAGCGTGAGAGCTGAGCCGGCCGGCAAGAGGCCACCACAAGCGCACCCGCACGCGCCAGCTGCCCGCCGGCAGTTCGCGTGGAGTGGTGAAGTCCATCTCGAGCGTGATGGCCTCCTCGAGCGCGCAGTTGTTGGGGCCTGCGCTCAGGGCACTGATGCTCGGGCCCGCGTCAGCCATGCCGGTCGTTAGAAAAAAATCTGTACGCGGGCAGCGATGGACCTGCCTTAAAATCCCTGTGTGGTGGCGGCGTGCCGTCCTCCCATCCCTCCCTTGGGTTGGCTGTTTTCTTTCTTTCTTTTATCTGCCGCCTGGTGGAAGCACAAAATCAAGAGAGATAACAAATATAGTTAGAGGCTGCGCAGGCCGTCCCGTTTGCATCTGAGTGAGGGAGGGTGTAGAGGATGTAGAGTGTAGAGCACTGTAGAGCTGTAGAGATGTAGAGCGCTCTGGAGCGCTGTAGAGCTGTAGAGCTCTACATCCGCCGCGTGACGAGGCGGGTGCGTTGTAGAGCGATGTAGAGCGCGATTTTGCTGTAGAGTTTGTTGTAGAGGCTCTACAGCCAAACCGCCGGGAAGGCAGTGACTCAAAGAGGTCGAGCCGCGCTAATGGGGTGTCTCCGAGCTTACTGGAGCTCTGATGGACGGCCCTGACTATCCCTGACACACAGAGAGTCACTCTGACGACACACAACACCCTACAACTGCGTCATGACCAGCCTGGCCTGCCATGCGTCGCCGGTGCCGCATTCGTCGCAGTGCTTCTTTAGCAGGCGGTGGACTTGTCGGCTGCGAGGACGGTCGCATTTGCGCGAGGCGAGGCGAGCATTCAGACGCGTTGCATGCGCCATGACTCGCGCCAGCGCGTGCGGGAGCTCCTGGCTGAGCGTTGAGTCCAGGCGAGTTGCGCTGGCCACGATCGCTACGCCGAGCCGAGCTGACGCGCCGAGGCGCCGGCCAGTCGCAGCCGTGAGGCATGCCACAGCAGCAGAGGCACCTCCCACCCATTGGGCGGGCACACAGAAGGCCAGGGCAGAACTGGCAAGTGCAACGCGCCTCATGTCGGAGAGCGACCGTGGTCCGTGCCTCGTTCGCCGCTTATTATGATGTAGAGTTTGTTGTAGAGATTTCACGTTGTAGAGCGCCTCTACATCGCTCTACAACGCACCCGCCTCGTCACGCGGCGGATGTAGAGCTCTACAGCTCTACAGCGCTCCAGAGCGCTCTACATCTCTACAGCTCTACAGCGCTCTACACTCTACATCCTCTACACCCTCCCTCAGGTTTGCATGTTTGATTGCATAAAAAACGCCCCGCGTGCTGCGCGCGCGCGCCGGGGCTCTCCCCAAACCCCAATATGTCTCTCACACACTCACGTCACACGTGCCGCAATATGTGTCACACACGGCGGCTTCTGCCACCTCTCGATCGGTTTCACTTTCTACGCACACCCACCGGGGAAGGGGCGCTTGGGAGCGGGGGCGGGGGCGGGGGCGGGGGTGGGGGCGGGGGCGCGCAGCGCGCGGCGCGCGCGTGCGGGCAACAGAGGGTAGGGGTGGGGAAGACGGCGAGGAGGGGGCGGCGGCGGCGGCGGCGGCAGCGCGCGCGCGGCGCGCGCGACGGAGGGGCGGAGCAGCGGCCGCTGGCGCGGTCGCTGCTCCGTCTGTGCCAGAGACGCGCGCTCTGCGCCGCTGCACAGAGCGCGCGTCCGGCAAGGGGGGGCAACTAGCGTGGCGGCGCGGGACGCGCGGCGGCGGCGGCGAGCAGCCGAGCGCTCCGTGCGCAGTGAGGCCCATATAGGCACCTTACACTCCCCCGCAGTATCGCACCTCTTGAGCGACACTACGTTTCCGCAGCTGGGGATTCTCCCCTCTTTGTACCCGTGCTGGCCGGATTCCTCCTCCGAACAAATCAAGTTCGATCGGCCCCATTCTCCGAGAACTGCGTGGCAGCCACTATCTCACCGGAGGTACCATGTCCGAAGAGGCCACCGGCCAAAAGCGCATATGTCTTGAACGTCCGATACTGGAAGCCCATATAGGCACCTTACATGGTGGGGTGGTTTGACTTTGCCGCAGAGGCCGTCCCTAGCTGTGAACAGCAAACGTGACGGTATCTTTCACTCTCTCAAAATCATCGGACATCGCAAGAAGCCATTCTCCTCCTCCTCCCCGACTTCGCCTTCCTTCTCGTTCCTTCCTGGGAGGACCCAGTAGCTACCTTCTACCTGTCGTCGCTGCAGCCTGCCTGAGGTTCGATGGTTGGTGTCCGCTGGGAGGCTTCTCTCTCTCTCTCTCTCTCTCTCTCTCTCTCTCTCTCTCTCTCTCTCTCTCTCTCTCTCTCTCTCTCTCTCTCTCCCCCTTCCCCCCCTCCCTCCCTGAGGGAGGGTGTAGAGGATGTAGAGTGTAGAGCGCTGTAGAGCTGTAGAGATGTAGAGCGCTGGAGAGCGCTGTAGAGCTGTAGAGCTCTACATCCGGCGCGGGGCAGAGCGATGCAGATGTAGAGCGATGTAGAGGCGCTCTACAACGTGAAATCTCTACAACAAACTCTACATCATAACAAGCGATGCCCCCCCCCATGAACACACCAGTGAGGGAGGGCGAGACGATCGAGGGGTCCCGTACCATGCGGAATCGACCCTATCCGGTGCTCAAGTGCTCAAGATGTAGAGCGATGTAGAGGCGCTCTACTAGGGGCCTAGAGAACACAACCCCCTCTCTCTTTTCTCCCAGTGAGCTAAAAGTACGTACGTGCAACGTGAAATCTCTACAACAAACTCTACATCATAAGCGGCGAACGAGGCACGGTCGCTCTCCGACATTAGGCGCGTTGCACTTGCCAGTGCTGCCCTGGCCTTCTGTCTGCCCGCCCAATGGGTGGCAGGTGCCTCTGCTGCTGTGGCATGCCTCACGGCTGCGACTGGCCAGCGCCTCGGCGCGTCAGCTCGGCTCGGCGTAGCGATCGTGGCCAGCGCAACTCGCTTGGACTCAACGCTCAGCCAGGAGCTCCCGCACGCGCTGGCGCGAGGCATGGCGCATGCAACGCGTCTGAATGCTCGCCTCGCCTCGCGCAAATGCGACCGTCCTCGCAGCCGACAGTCCACCGCCTGCTAAAGAAGCACAGCGATGAATGCGGCACCGGCGACGCATGGCAGGCTGGTCATGACGCAGTCATTATGTGCCGTCAGAGAGTGACTCTCTGTGTGTCAGGGATAGTCAGGGCCGTCCATCAGAGCTCCAGCAAGCTCGGAGACACCCCACTAGTGCGGCTCGACCTCTTTGAGTCACTGCCTTCCCGGAGGGTTTGCTGTAGAGCCTCTACAACAAACTCTACAGCAAAATCGCGCTCTACAGTGCTCTACATCTGCATCGCTCTGTCCCGCGCCGGATGTAGAGCTCTACAGCTCTACAGCGCTCTACAGCTCTACAGCTCTACAGCTCTCTACACTCTACATCCTCTACACCCTCCCTCAGCTCCCTCCCTCCCTCTCCCCCCTCCCCTCTGCCCTCTCGTGTCCGTCCGTTATCGAGAGGGCTGCTCTCTTATCGATAGTTGGCGGAGAGTGAGATTTGTGTTAGAGAGAGATATTTTTGAAAACCAACCCTCTTCTTCTTGTGTTAGTTGGCGTGATCTTGAATTCTAGAGAGAGATTTTTAGCAATACCTTAAAGAGAGGTTACAGGCAATACCAAACAACTCTAACACTCACACGTCATTTGGGGCCTGGAGCCCCTGCAGACTGAAGTTTATGGTGGTTTAAAGTTTGTGGGGGGGTGGGGGGGGGGGGGGGCAAATTTGGGCGGCCGAATTCAATTTTGGGGGGTGTGGACGACTGTTTTGGGGATCCTGCCGACGCGCTACAGTTGTAGCCCGACTGCACATAAGATGGACACCTCAACGGGAGGGCCCCTGCAAACTGAAGTTTATGGTGGTTTAAAGGCCCTGTTCACGCGCGCGCGAGACGTGCAGACAGGGTTGCCAGGTGAGAGCGAATGGCGCGGTTCACGCCTCGCACAACAGAGAGAGAGATGCGCTCTGCATGGTGGGACATAAAAGAGAGCGAGTACTTGCTTGGGCGAGTAGGCCGTGCGGTCAACGCTGCCGCGCGCGACTTTGCGCGCAAGGCGGCGCAGCTTGAGAGAGCGGCGGTGGGCGAGAAGCCGCCGCCGAACGTCTCGTGGAGCAGCAGGTTGAAGTTGTTGCGCTTGACAAAGATCGCGTCGTGGTAGAAACCGCGATGCGCCTTGACGTAGCCGTGGCCGGTCTTGTGGGAGAAGGGTTGGCCGGGCTGCCCGCGCGCCTTGCAGCCCATGTTTAGGCGGCGGGCCTTCTCCTCGGTGTTGCCGAAGGCGTAGGAGTGGCCCACGGAGGCGGGCGTGCCGCCACTCGAGTCGTTGCCAGCGCCCGTCGAGGAGGTCTTGAGGAGGATTTTGTTTTGAATTCTTGATAAAGAAAGACAAGGAGCACTTGGACGGTCATCCTCCTCCTCAAGACCGGTTGGAGCACTTGGAGTGCAGTTGGTAACCTCTCTCGCAGGGCTAAAGAAAGAAAGAAAGAAAACAGCAATTCCAGGCTAACAAGAGCCAAGATTTCTTCTGCCGGTGTGCTGTGAGAGAGGCTTGTATCTTAAGAATTCTGATACCGCGACCACCGCGACCTGCCACCAACGAGCAAAAAAATGTTCGTCATCTCGTCCTCGGCCGCCGCCGCCGAAGCTCGCCACCTCGAGCGAAAGGGCGTCCGGACTCGCGACGCTCCGCAGGGTGCGGCGAGCGACATGCTGCTCACCACGCCTCGCGGCGCGCTCGCCTTCGTGCTGACTCGCGGGGAGGCGGCGTCGGCGGTTGTCGAGCGTGCCACCAAGGCAGCACGTGCGGCACGGCGCTGCACGATTTTGCTGCTCGGCGAGCGCGCGCAGCAGAGTGCCGTCGAGGCGCTGCAAGAGGAGTGTCCCATCGGTGTCAACGTCCTTCGGTGCGAGAACTCCGAGGCCGCGGTGGAGCACGTCCTTGCCTGCGCAGCTGGCATTCTCAACGGCGCACGCTCCGCCGCAAATCGGGAGCCCGACCCCGTCGACGCAGCTGCGACGGCGCTTTCCGAAATGTGGAATGTGTCGCGTCACGACGTCGAATATCTTCTGGCAACCGTCTCTCTCCCAGAGCTCGCACGCGTAAACACGGAGGAGGAGTTTGCGGACCTCGTGCACCACACCGACTCGGTCATCGAGCGCGGCCTGCTCGAAGGCGCTGTCCGGTGGCTGCAGAGCGACGCCGTGGCAGCTTGAGCACCATACAGCATACTCCAGACAGAATCGTGTGCGCGTCAATGAGCAAGGCAAATTGGACGGGCGCGTCCGTGCAACACATCGTCGTCGCATCACGACACCGCGACGAACCGCGGAGCTTGGACGGACGGGAGGGAACCCAACGGGTTTGAGAACGGACGATCTGGGGCCGTTCCATTCAATGTGCATGGATCCTGGAGCTCGCACAGCGCACGCATCTACGCCGCGTTCGCCGGCCGGAGCTGGGCGGGCGCCCCGCTTGCTCACGGCCTCACGCGCGTGCGCGCCGCCCCGCGCGCTCTCCTCGCGCGCCCGGACCCGGCCGGCGCCGTCGCCTCTCACACAAAGCCGACTGACGCGCCGCGCCTGAGAAAGTCCGAGACTGAGAGTCGCCTCTTGAGACACCCCGTTTTCCAGCGCCTGCCTCTCCCCCCGCCGGCACGTGTGCGGACGGCGATATTTTCTGAAGGGAAACGGAATCACGACCCCCTCTCCATCAGAGCACCACGCACAAGTGTAAGGTCTGGTCTGGTGTGTGTACAAGCGGTATCCCAAGAGGGGCCCGCAGCGCGAAGAGACCGTGACAGCCGTGAGCCGAGTGCGTGAGCGTGTGCATGCACAACATCAGAACACAAGCACTCGCGAGAGGCGCCCATACGCAGCGAGGAAGGGAGCAAGGGCGCGGCCCCATCACTCGCTCCCTCTCCCGGAGACTGACCTCCCCCGCCTGGGCTGCTGCGGCATCGCAACCTGCAGGAGCGATGACATATCGACGACGTCCGTGATCGGCTGGGCGTGCTCACGCCCAAAGTCCATGCAACACCACAGCAGCTGGCACGAGGGGACGGAGCCCGAAGTCATCTGCTTGAGGAGCGGCCCCTGCCGCACGTGCGCCGAGGTGTGCGTGTGGCGGCCGAGCAGCTCGTGGAAGACGTCGTCGTGCGTCACGAGCACCAGCGACTCGTGCGGCGAGTAGCGGATCTGCGAGACCAGCTCCGCGACCCGCGCCTGAAAGTCGCGCTCCGACTCCGTCTTGTCGGACCACCAGCGCGCCTCCGCCTCGACCGTGTCGAGCTCGCTCGCCTCGATCTGCTCGAGGCTCGCCTCGTCGCACAGGCCCTGCTCCGAGGCGGCCAGCTCGCGGAACTTCTCGACGCAGCGGTGCCGCATGGCGTCGCCCGATACGGTCCCGATGGACATGTTTGGGTTGGTGAGGCCGCGGCGCTGCCTGGCGTTGGCCTTGACCTCGACCACGCCCGCCGCCTCGAGCAGGGGCAGCAGCGCGAGCTGCGCCGTCTGGACCGCGCGCGTGAGCGGGGACGACCACAGCGCGTGGGTGCCCTGCAGCAGGGACAGGAGGGCCGCGCGCTGCTCCTCGTCGGCGGCGGCGCCGCCGTCGCCGTCGGCGGCGGACGAGCGCGCGACGCCACTCAGCGCGGCGGATGCGCGGATCGCGGCCCCGACGCGCTCGGCCTGCATGTAGCCGATGCGCGACAGCGGGTGGTCCGTCTTAGCCATGACGGCGCGCATGCGCTGGTACGCCTCCTGCCCGCGCTTGGCCATCCCGCCCAGCCGCTCCTTCAGCTTCTGCGTCTGCTCCCCGACGGCTCCCGTGCCGCCGCTGGCGCGCGCGGACGGCTCCTCCATCCCGGCGGCGCGCAGCATCGTGCGGTACGCCTCTGACCACGTCGACTGCGCCGTGTGCAGCAGGAACAGGTGCTTGACGGGCCGCTCGGCGGCGACCGAGCGGAGGGTGATGGTGCACGGAGGGCCGAGCGAGCCGTCCGAGGTGGGCGGGCCACCCCGCCGGCTCGGCGCGTAGGTGAGCGCGCCCAGCTCGAGCTCCTCCGCCCCCACGCACCCCATCGGCACCTCGGCCGACGCGAGCAGCGCAGAGTCCTTTCCGCTGCGCACCGCGAGGTGCAGCACCGTGTCGGCGCCCCAGTGCGACTGGCCGAGGCGGCGCGCCGAGTTCCACGTGCAGCGGCCGCGCCACACCAGGCCGGGCCGCAGGTTCCGCTTCCCCTTTGCGTCGGCGAGCGCCTTTGCGTCGTCGGGCGAGGTGGCGTGCGCCGTGGCGGCCGGCCAGGCCGCCTGCCTGCCGATGTGGACGCCGCTGCTGTCGGCGAGCCACATGGTGACCTGGACGCGCGCGGAGAGGTCGAAGAGGGGCACGTGGTTGACCCCCGTGAGGTGCACCACCGGCCCCGTCGGCTGCTCGAACTGCCGCTGCATCACCAGCTTGACGCCCGCGTTTGGCGTCTGCGCCGCGACGAGCAGTCGCACGTCGGTGATCATCCGGGGCCCGCGGCTAAAGTCGAGCTGGCAGCAGGCGACGCCGCAGTTGGGTAGGACGTCCTTGCAGAGCCGGCTGGCGAGCTCGGTGGAGCGGTGGCCCACGTCGGCGTGCAGGAAGCGCTGGAACATCGAGCGGAAGAAGTGCGAGTGGCCGACGATGACAATCGTGTCGTGCCGCGAGAACTGGATCTGGTAGAGCAGCTCGAGGAGGCGACCGCGCACCTCGTCCCTCGCCTCGGCCGAGGTGTTCCACCACGGCTCGCTCACCTGCAGGGCAGGTCCAAGGCAGGCTCAGGGAGACGCTCGTGGGGGGCGGTTCGGGGAAACGTCGGCGCGCCTCGTCAAAGTTGAACTTGATCCCGTCGCCAAAGCGCTCGGCGCCGGGCGCCACTTCGGCCAGCTTCTGCCGCGCGCGCTGGGCGCATGCGGCGCCGACCACGAGCCCCTGCGTGTCGCGGCCGCCCACGTTCTTCTTCTCGCGCGCGTTGGTCTTCAGCTCGAGCTCCATCGCCGCCTGGTCGCCGGACCCGCTGCTGCTGCCGGCGGCGGCCGCCGCCGCCACCGCGCCGCCATCGGAGGACCTGTCGCTCGAGAGGCGCGCGGAGGAGCTGTCGGCGCCGAAGAGCATCAGCTCGGGCGGCGGGCCGTCCCCCTTCTCGAGCAGGGGCCGCATCGCGACGACCGCGGTCTGGATGGCGCGAGTGAGCGGCGAGGCCCACACGGCTTGAGCGCCGAGCAGCGCGCGCAGGGCGGCGGCCTCGGAGGGGGACGAAGAGAGCATGCTCCGCCCGCCGTCCGCCGCGGCGCGGATCGCCCGCTGCAGCTCGCACGCCTGCTTGTAGCCCTTCTCGTTGAGCGGGTGGTCCACCTGCGAGAGTGAGAGAGAGTGAGTGTGAGAAGGAAGAGCAACCAGACTCCCGAGGTGGCTGTCAGACCTGCGAGACCATCTCGAGCACGTCGCGCTTGGCCTGCGCCTCGTTCCACTTTGACTCGCCGTGCCGCACGAAGAAGACCGTCTTCATTGGCGACGGCGCCGGCAGCGCGTGCAGCCGCACCGCCGACCCTCCACGCGGCGTGTGGCGGGGAGGGCCTCCCTCGCCGTCGTCCGGCCGGAGGAGAGGGACGTCGATCGGGGCGGCGAGCAGGCTGTGCAGCGGGATCTTGGCCGCCGCGAGCGCCGCGTCCGTCTGCGTCGCCCACAGCTCGATGTGCAGCTGCGCGCCCGGGTCCGACACCCCGACGGCGAGCTGACGCGCCGAGTTCCAGACAGGGCTCGCGCTCCCCTCCTTTGCAGGCCAGGAGACGGTCCCGCCGACGCAGCGGTCGCGCGAGTCGACGGCCCACATGATGACGTGCACCTCGGGCGGCGACTTGTCGAAGAGCTCGCGCCCGACCGTCGCAGAGAAGAGGTGGATCACCGGCGCGCATGTCACCTCCTCGTACGTCACCTCGGCGCGGCTGCCCTTAGGTAGCAGCATCGCCGCCTTCTCGTACACGCGCTCCTCGACGTCCTGCGGGGTCGGGCGGCCGTCCGCCAGGTCGTACTCCTCGGGGCCCGCGTCGCTCGCGTATCTGCTCACGCCCGGCTCGACCCCACCGGCACCGGCGGCGGCAGGAGCCTCGGTCGGCGCTCCCGCCGCAGCCGCTGCCGCAGCGGCAGGGCCGGCCGCTGCCGTGTCGTCGCCGCGGTCGGCCTCGTCCGCGGCACGGAGCTCCGCGCGCGCCTCTGCCCGGACCATCCGCAACATCCGCTCGGGCGTGCCCGCCGCGCTCGCCGCCGCCATCTCTGTGATGAAGGACTGAAAGGCGGACAGCTCGGGCAGCGCAAGCATCCACGGGCTGACCGAGAGGGCGTGCTGCACCTCGCGCAAGCTCTCGAGCGGGAGGCCCACACCGGCAGAGTAGGGAAGCTGCGACAGGCGGCTCGGGCTGAGAGGCGGCCGCTCATCCCAGGGCGGCCCTGCCGCCTCGTCGTCCTCTGGCGGCAGCCGGCCGCGTGGCGAGCCGCGAGGCGAGCCGCGCGGTGAGCCGCGCGGTGAGCCGCGCTGCGGCGAGAGCGGGGCAGCGCTGGGGCCCAGATCGGCGCTGGCTTCGAGCAGGTCCACAAGGCTGCCTGCTGTGCCAGCCGCTGCGGGGAAGGCGCCGGCCTCGGCGCTCTCTTGCTCGGGCAGATAGCCGGGCGCGGCGTCGCCAAAGTGGTCAGCGAGAGACGGATCTTTGGCGAACTTCTTCTTGACTTTTGACTTGATCGCGCGCATCGGCGCTTGCGTGGAAATCAAGGAGGCCACCTGCTTCTGCTGCCCAGGTGTGTGCGGATGCACTGAGCGGGGGGCCGACCCGCAAGGAACACACGCAAAGAATTCTTGATGCCACGCAAAAGAAACTGATTACGGCACCAGTAGGAGGCCCGCGCTTGCCCCCGTGCCGCCGGGTGCAACCTGTCCTATACGAGAGAGGAATCCCTGGGACCCTGTCGTGTGGGTGAACCCTGCCCAGCCCCCCTCCGTGCCGCGATGCGCTCCCCGCTCCCGTTCCCCTGGTCCTGATCGTCCTTACAAGATCCTGCTCGTGCAGGTGGGGACCCTGTCCTTCTCCCACCCCTCGTTTGGCGTGTCCGTTGTATTTATTTATTTATGATTACGGCACAGGGTGAGCCACACCGAACGTACCGAGCGAAGAGCCGAGCGGAAGGAGGACGGGGAAGATGACTCCGAGGAGGACGAACCAGTGGAAATCCAGTTGTCAGATGTCACGATGCATCCGAAGGGGACTCCAGCGCCGGCATCATCCGTAGAGGCACGAGTGTTCGAAGAGAGAGTGGACCTGAGCAACAACATGACCTGTAGGCAAATGATCGGAGTGGGAGTCAGAAATGTGGTCCTTGCGCGAGGGGAGCTCGATAGACTCGAGGGGCCAGGATACGCCGCGAGGAGGACGGAGTTGCGCCGAAAGGCGAAAGAAGCCGCGAGAACAAGGGACCGGCAGGCGGCGGCGTCGCAGGACGAGGCAGAAGGGAACGACGCGACAGAGGAGGAAATGACAAGGGCGAGAACGACGAGAGTGGGACGACCGCGAGGTGGCATGAAGGTTGCAGCGAGAATCGGAGAGAGACTGCGAAGAGAGATAGGAAGAGGCGGACTCCCTAGGGTGGGCGACGGCTAGCGCACCACACACCTCTCCTTAAAATCCCTGTGTGGTGGCGGCGTGCCGTCCTCCCATCCCTCCCTTGGGTTACCTGTTCCTTTTTACCCATCTCACAGTAGAGGTGCGCCGTTTTTATTTAGTTATTTATTTGCCACAAGTTTTAGGTATATACCCTGGTGGAGGTGAACTTTTTGGCGCACTGACATGCATAATGCAGGTTATGGGCCAATTAGGGAAGGGGAGTGGAATTATGTGCAATTCCGGCCGAATGGGCCAGGACTCCGCCAAGAGGACGGTTTTCTAGCGGCAAGTATCGACCCTGACCTCGGGTACCGAGAAGACGAAGTCCGCTTCGGCCGTCCAATGGTGTACAGTCGTTGGCGTAGGTAACTGCAGTATCACGCAACCGTTACACACGGCGCCCCCCTGAGATTCGGTTGAGATGCAGATGAGCTCGCCAGCTCGCGCGTGTGTTTCGTCGATCGGCCGTCCTCTTCACACATCTCATTGAGATTGTTATTCAAATTCCATGTTCACAGCAATTGTCTCCCCTTTTTTTTCACCACCTGAGATCCCGAATCTCAGCCCTGCTGCAATTATGACCCCAACTGCCCTGCCCTGCCCTGCCCTGCCCTGCCGTACTGCCCTGCCCGCACACTGCCGCACAACTGCCCTGCCCGATCCCCTACCTGCCCCGGGTGTGAAACCCACACTGCCCTGACCTGCCCAAACCACACTGCCGGGTGTGAATAACTGCCCGCACGCGAGGTCTCGGAGAAACTTGCTGTGGTTCAGACGGAGAGAGCCGAGAGTTTTGATTATGCTGCTGTCTCGAGGTGAGCCCGGTGTTTTTTTCATACGGCTCCGGTGGTTTGCCTGTGTTAGTGCCAGCACGGGACCCGCGCAAATTCTTTTCTGCTGTGTCCTGTGTTAGACTTAGAGAGATTTCTCTTCTTGTGTTAGTGCCAGAGTCCGACCAAGTGCGGCTCCGGCTCTACTAGCGCGGCGAATGACATTTTCGACACCCTCGACGACTTTCTCGGCTATTCCGACTCCGGCTCCGGCTGGTACTTGACAAGCTGCCGAGCCCAAGTCACTGTGGGAGCGATTTCTTGTTGGCTTCTAAAAATCTCTCTCTCCCAGTGCGCGCCAGTCCCGCCTGGTGTAAAGAAAGAAAGAAAGAAAACAGACAACCCAAGGGAGGGATCCCTATAGCTAGTTTAAGGTTGCTCCCGGCCCAGTGGGGATTTTGGCCTACTCAGTGACCGTCTAAGGGGCGCTAACTGGCTGCACTTCCATATCTTTTGTGCCTAGCTTGTAGAGCACCTTAAAAAACTAGTATTGTCTTGGAGTGAAAAGTTTTTCGATGAGGTGGGGGTCCGTGGTGAGCAGATTCCCAGATTCTCCAGATTCCCCCTCGAGAACCTCCAATTGTAATTCATTGCGGCCGCGGGTTTGCTCGGATTACTTTTCACTCCAAGACATACTAGTTTTTTGGCGTTCCGGTGCCTACAAAAAATATCCGAGATCATATGGAGCTTACCACAGGGTTTGCGGCGGTCACTGTCCTACCAGCGGACACAGTGGGCCGCGGACACCCGTGAATCACCTTATCTTCTCGTGCCGACTTGCGAGTTGTTTTGTCGTCACTCCAGCTTCTCTGCTCCTCCGCGGCCGACAACAGGTGGCCGACAACAGGGATGACCAAGGACGCGTCGCCCACCACTCAGGGAGACGTGGACGAAGACGCTACTCAAGGAGACGTTCTGGCAGCGGCGGGAACGGCAGCTCAGGTCGAGTGGGTGGAGGCTCCGGGAGGTCGCTGGCAGCCATGGCTTGCTCTGGTCCAGGGCAAGCGCTGCACCCGCCACCTCCGCGTCGAGGTTGAGGGCGACTGCTCGTCGCCGATCAAGGTGCTCGCGATGCACGGCTGGGGCTGCACTCTCGAGCTGTGGCAGGCACTCGGCTTCCTTTCGAGCCTGCGTGGCCGCGCGTGCATCGCCGCCTTCGACACGCGAGGCTCTGGCCGCTCGTCGTGCGGCCGCGCGCTGTGGCGGATTAATGGGCTGGGAGAGGACGCGCTGCGGGTGTTGACGCACCTGGGATGGGCTCCCCACGAGACGACCCTCGTCGGCATCAGCCAGGGCGGGATGGTGGCGCAGCACGCGATGGCGCTCGCTCGCGAGCGTGGGCTCGGGTCCTTCGCCGCCGCGGTGCTGATCAACACGCTTCCGCCCGAGGGCGCCCAAACGAAGGCCTCTGGCTACCTTCGGCTGGTGTTGGAGGGCTTGCTCCAGCAGGCGGACCGCAACCGCTCCCGGCGGCGCACTGCGCACCGCGCACTCCTCACGCGCAACAGCCGCTGCTCGCGCTACCCGCGCGACTCGGCGCGGCCGCCGGAGGACACGGAGCTCGTCTTCTCGTCGCCGCTCTACCGGGCGCGTGCGCTCGCCGCGCTCGTCGCGGCGGGCTGGGCGGGATTCTTCTTGTACGACGCCGAGCAGGACGCCCGCGGCTGCGCCGAGGTTGCGGCGAGCGAGATCGCGCCCACCGAACGGGACGGCGGCGCGCTAATGGGCGAGGTCTCGGCGCTGCTGCAGGACCAGCGAGGTCCGCACGTGCGCGGCCGCCTGCGCGGCTGGCTTGTCAACCTCTTTTGCACCCTCGACCACCATCACCTCCTCTCCAGGCAGCGCAGGGAGGCGATCCTCGCCGCCCCGGCCAAGCGAACCCTCGTCATGACAGGCACCGCCGACCGGGTGGTCCCTTGCGCCAACGGCGCCAGGCTGGCGGCGTTGTACGCAGCGGCCGGCGCCGACGTCACTCTCTGTCCGATGCCTGGCTTGTCGCATTTGCCGCTCTCGCCCCTCACGGCTCAGCCCGTGGAGCAGTTTGTGCTCGGAGGCGCCGAGGGCGGCTCGTCGCCTCTCGACCTGATCCGCATCGAGGGCGAGAACTCCTCCTTCGAGGCGTTGCGCGCGGCGATTCTGGACCGGGATCGGGCGGAGCACATTGAGTAGCTTTGTCCTTTGAGCGATGAAAGCGCGCGATGTACATATACTCCCCTCTCCAGTGTTGAGTTATCGTTATGTGTGAGATGCTGTGTCGTGTGAGATTACGTTATCTAAGAGTAGCGCCGCTGAGCGCTGTCCCAGCGCACAACACATGTCAGACCGCGCTGACACGTGACAGTCAGGGGATGTCACCGATCCAGAGGCAGAGCTGCTTGAGCAGCTCCGCGTGCGATGGACATGGAGCGCGTGCACGATCTGAGTCATGTTTTTTGAAAACATTATTAATAACACATTCACGAGACGCAGATAGAGTACGCTGTACGGGCACTTTCACGCTCTCAGCCGCCCTCCGCTTGGAGCTGCCGTTCGATCTCTCGAATCTCTCTGCTCATCGTCCGGATCTGCGCCTTTGCCTCTGCCGCCAGAGTCGCGCGGACGCTGCTCGCCTCGAGCCCTGCAGTCCGCTCCGCCGCCTCGAGGCTCATCTGCGCCGTTGCAATCTCGTCCGCCGCAGCAGCCTCGAACCGCTCGAGCTCGAGCTGCTTTGCTTCCAGCGCCCTCTGGCCGTCGGCGGCAGCGGCGTCGAGTGCGGCAGCGTGGTCCGCCCGGAGCTGCGAGACGTACGCCTGCGTCTTCTCCTTGAGAGCCGCGGCGCGTTCCGTGCGGCTCTGCTCGCCCTTCTTCAAGGCGGCGATCTCCTCCTTCGCGGCTGCGAGATCGAGCTTGAGCGTGCGGATCTGCTCGAGGCGGCGGAGCGTGCGCTCATTCTCCACCTCGTGGACGGCCCTCTCCTGACTCCGGCGCTGCAGGGAGGCGAGCTCCTCCTGAAGCCTCTGCACCTCGGCCTGCAGCTCCGCCTGCTGCTCCTTCGCGGCGCCGTCGGCAACGTCGTCGCCGGGGGAGGGCTGCGCCCCGCTAGAGCGTGCGGGCTCTGCCGTCGAAAGATGAACGCCATCGGCAATAGCAAGGGCGGCAGCGTCGCCGCCGGGGACGGGAGCGGCCTCAAACTCGCTGTCGTTGACAACCCAGCTGTCGCCTGGCGCCCAACCCTCGCCGGGGGCGACCGTCGCCGCACCGCCGGCAGCCGCACCGCCGGCCGAGGCCGCTTCGGCGGCAGCGGCGTTGGCGGCGGCCGCGTCGGCAGCGGCGGCCGCCTCGCGCAACTTCTGCTCGAGCTCGTCCGCGCGCTGTGTCGCCTGCGCCGCCGCCTCCGCGAGGCTCGCCTCTCGCACCTGGGCAGCCGACCGCGCCTCCTCGAGCTGGTCCCGCAGGCCGGCCGCGGTCGCGGAGAGCTCGTCTCGCTCCGCCTCGAGCTTCTGCAGGTTGTCGGCGCTCATCGTCGACAGCTGGAGCTCCTTCTGCGCGAGGAGCGACTTTGTCTTGCCCAGCTCGCGCTCGAACGCGCCGACCTTGGTGCGCAGCGCCTGCACCGCGGCGCTCGAGTCTTCGCTCGCCGAACGCGCCTCGGCTTGCGCGCGATCGAGGCCCTGGCGCAGCTGCTCCGCGGCCGACACCTCCTTCGCCCGCGTCGCCTGCAGCGCCTCCAGCTCGCGGCTCGCCTTCTTGAGCTGCGCGGCGAGCGTGTCCCGCTCTGAGGACAGCTCTCGGTTCACCTACCACACGCCGTGCTCACCTCGTGTGTCGCAGCTCGTCTCCGCTGGAGGACGGCTCTCGCTTCACCTCCGCCGCAGAGCTGAGCCGCCCCTGCGACTTTTGCTCGTCGCGGGAGGTGGTTGAGAGGCGCGCCTCGAGCGCCTTGACCTCCGCCTGCAGCTGCTTGCGCTCGGCGATCCCCACCTTGAGCGCCTCCTTGGCCTTGTCCACCTTCTCCACCTCCTTGTGCAGCTTGCCCTCCACGGAGGCGTTCTCCGCCGCGAGCACCGCCGCCGCCTTTTTAAGCTCAGCAGCCTGCCGCTCCGCCTCGGAGTGCGCCTCCGCCGCACCGCGCACTGCCTGGTCGAGCCGCGCCTCCACCTCGGCCAGCCTCCCCTCCGCCGCCTCCGCCCTCGCCATCGCCTCGGCCGCCGCCTGCGCGGCAAACTGCGTCGCCTCGGCGGCGGAGGCGCGGCCGTCGGAGGCGCGGGCGCTGCCGTTCCCGTCGGCGCTCGCTCGCGCGGCGGCGGCGGCGCGGGCCTTGTGCTGCGCCTTCACCGCGCTCAGTGCGGCGGCGTGCTCCGCCTCCCGCTGCTCCGCTCTGGTCCGGCTCTCGTACAGCTCCTCCCTCGTCCTCGCCACCTCGCGCCGCGCCTCGGCGAGGGCGGCGTCCGACTCTGCGCGACCGAGCCTGGCCGAGACGAGCTCCTGGTTGAGGGCGGCGAGCGCGACGTCGGACGGCTCCGAGCCCGGCTCGAGCGCGGGCAGGGTCGCGTCTGACACGCGCCGCCGCTCCTCGTGCAGCTGCAGCCGGAGCTGCTCGCTCTCGCGGGCCGCCTTTGAGGCTCCGGCGAGCTCCGCCTTGAGAGCGGCGAGCTCTGACCGCAGCTTCTCGCGCTCCTCCTTGAGCTGGCTCGCCGACCCCTTCGCCTTGTCCTTGGCGCGCGCCTCCTTGCTCAGCCGCGACTCGACCGACGCGTTTTCGGTCGTGAGCGCCGCGATCGCGCTCTTGAGGTCGGACACCTCGGCCTGCGCCGCCGCCCGGCCGCCCGCCGCCGCCTCGAGCTCGCGCCTCAGCCTCTGCGCCTCCGCCTGCGCGTCCTTCCCGCTCTCCAGCTGCTGCTTCAGCTGCTTGACCGTAAACTCGCTCTCGGCGAGCTGCCGCTTGGCTTCGACCATCGCCGCCCCCAAGGCCGCATCCTGCGGCCGTGCCTCCTGCTCCAGCTCCGTTGCCCGCCGCTCGAGCCGCTGAGAGCGCTCCCGCTCCCGACTCAGCGTCTCCTCGAGGTCGCGAGCGCGCGCGACGAGCGCAGCGTCGCCGCCGGCGCCGATGGCCTCTTCCAACGCCGCCTTTTGCTGCGAGAGGTCACGGAACTTGGCGACCGCCCGCGCCTTGACCGACTCCAGGTCCCGCTCCAGCTCCTGGATCCGCCTGTTCTTCTCGCGAAGGAGCTCACGCACCTTGTCCGGCTCCTCGAGAGCCTCGCGCAGCGACTTTCCGACGCTCGACTCCCCTAGCCGACTAGCGCTGTCGGCCGCTGCCTTTGCTGCCTTCTCGCTGAGCGACGCCGCCTTGGTCGACAGCGTCGAGCGGAGGGAGGACAAGCGTTCGGACATGGCGAATACAAGAGCAGCCGCGGGCGGGCGGTGTTTGCAATACAAGAAACAGCGGGGGGCAGGAGTTGTTTGCGCTGAAAGGTGGGGACCCTGTCCTCGTCCCATCCCTCGTTTGGCGTGTCTGTTTTCTTTCTTTCTGAAAGAAATGCGACGCCCCGCACGATGGCTTGCGCGGTCAAAAGAAAAATCTGCACAACTTACTCCCCCGAATACTACTACACACTACTGCGGGCTGGCCAGCGTCACCTGCAGGTGTACGCCCAACGAGTAGTCGAGCGGCGCCAGGTTGGTGATATAGCGCCGGTCGGCCAAGTCGTACTCGAAGACCTCGCCCGGCGCGAGGGAAACGCGCTGCGGTGCATGCGTCGCGATGTCAGCGTCCGGGGCGGGGCGGGCGAGGGTGTGTGGGCCGCGGCAACCTGCCAGCCGGACCAGCGGTCGCCGGCGACGAGGTGGAGCCAGATCGCGAGTGCGGGCTTCGCCTCGCTCGCGCCCGCCGCCTGCGGCATGCGGCGCACGACCAGGCAGATCTCCAGATCGCGGCACGCTCCCTCGGCGCCGTCCTTCGGCGTCCACGGCACGGCGCGACCCTCAAGCGCCAGCTCAAACTCGACGCCGCCGAGCGCAAACGGCGAGCCTCCGAGCCGGGTGGCGGCGCCGTCGAGTGCCCAATTCTCGGTGATGGGCACGTGTCCGCGCACGACGGGAAGTTGCCAGAAGCCGAAGGGCTCGACCACCGTCTGCGACGACGTTGGCCGGAACGCAGAGAGCGGAAAGCTGAAGCGGGTCTCACACTTCTCTGCCGGGCCGACGCGAAGCCAGTGGCCGTCGGTCTGCTGCCGGTGCGCCTTGAGAAGCGCGGCCGGATCTGGCGTCGGTCTTGGCAGCTCTACGCCGTTTAGCATCATGCGCACGATGCTGATCTCGCCTGCGGCTGCCGCCGGCAGCGTCACGCTCAGCTTTTTGCCGGGCGTCGCGCCCGGAGGCAGCAGGACGGTCAGGTTTTGGTTCGAATTCGTGACCAAGCTGAGGCGGTCGCCCGGCGCTGCTCCAGGTGGGACGTCGATGAACATCACCAGGCCGTCCTGCTTCTCTAGCCGCTTCACGGCCTTGTTATGAGAAGAAAATACGCGGTGCGCATGCGCTGCCTTGCCGCTTCACAGCTTTGTAAACTGCACTCTGGGAAGAGATTTAGGCAAGGAGCCCCGCGAAGATCACAGCGGAGTCGGCTCGGGCTTTCCAGACAGGGTGGGCGGCACGATCGAAGGCGGCGAAAAGAAAACATCACCGCGAAACCTACGCAGGATGGTGGAGGTCCAAAAGCCAGCCAGGCTGTAGTCTACTCGAGTACGCAGGACGGTCAGGACAAACATACGTGCGCGCTGCCGCGACCCTATGGCAGCCAGGCCAGGTTTCCCCGATGAGGATCCGTGCTAGAGGCCTAGACGTTTGCCCGTGATATATGTACCAACCACCCGCTCGGTATGTATGTAGAGAGAGATTTTAGAAAACCAACAAGAAATCACGACTCTTCATGTATGTATGTATCGAAGGTGAAAGTCAGACCAACGACTGGGACACCAGCGCGGTATGGGTGGACGCAGGACGGGCGGTGACAGTCACCTCGGCTCGCAATCTCCCCTCAATTCACACCGAACTTTCACTGCACCTTGTCGACGTGCGTCGCGCGTCCCCCGTCTCCGCGCCTTATCCCCGCGCTTATCTGCGTGCTTTACTATGGCGGATCTCGCCGAACGCCTGACCGCGTTGGCCAAGACGGCGAATGCGCAGGGTGCCACTGACGGAGCCGCTGCCCTCTTCGACGCTGCGCACGCCATCGGCGGCAAGGTCCACGCAAGAATTTCCGCGGCAAACATGCGCCTGAAGCTCCAACAGCCTGAGCGTGCATGCGATGAGTTCGACGCGATGCTTTCGCAGAGCCCGCCTCTTGACCCGAAGACGCGCGCTTTGGTGCTGCGAAAGAGAGGGGATGCGCTGGTGATGATCGAGTCTGGGTCGGCGTCCGAGGTGGTGTCTGCACCGCTTCGCATTGACCCTTCCATTGCTGCTGCGACAGCCGCCGAGCTTAAGAGCCTCGGGTCGAGTTTGAACGCTGACGGCCAAAGTTCCATCGCAGCCTGCGCGTACAGCGCTGCCTTTGCGCTAACCCCGAAGCGAGAGCTTCGCATCTCGGCAGCCAACATGACCCTCAAGACCGGCGGCGCAGCGAACGCTCGGATTGCGGCCAACGAGTACGACGCCATCTGCACCGAGGCGGCCAGCTCTGGTCCACCCCTCTCCGACTCGCATCGCGCGCTGATTCACCGCAAGCGCGAGGCGGCCAGCACCATTCTTGCCGCGTCCGACGCGACCACAGCAGCCCCCTCACGATCGCTCAAGTCTGCAGCCCAGAGCCAAAAGGAAGAGGCAAAAGAGGAGGCAGCAGCGCCCGAGCCGCTGGACCTGGACAACCAGGAGGACCCTACGGCGCGCGCGCTGGTGCAGGCGGAGGCGGTTGAGGGCTCGGAAGCAGCTTCAGACGAGGCGGATAGCGTCTTCGAGGCAGACGTGGAGGAGGCCGAGCTGGCGGACGAGGTGGAGGCTGTGGCGCCAGCGGAGGCGGCGAGAGCGGCTGAGGAGGCGGCGGCGGAGGTGGAGCGTACGGAGGCGGAGAAGGCAGCGAGGGCGGCGGAGGAGGAGGCAGCTGAGACGGCGCGTATTGAGGCGGCGGAGGCGGCGGCGGTGATGGCGGCGGAGGCGGAGGCAGCGGAGATGGCGCGCATTGAGGTGGAGGAGGAGGCAGCGAGGGCGGCGGAGGAGGAGGCAGCGAGGGACCAAGCAGCGAGGGCGGCGGAGGAGGAGGCAGCGCGGGCGGTGGCGGAGGAGGCGGCGGCAGCGGCGGCGGCAGAGGCGGAACGTGTCGAGGCGGAGGATGAGGCGGTGAGGGAGGCGGAGGCGGCGGTCGTAGAGGCGGCGGAGGCAGCGCGCCCTGCGGCCGAGGCGGAGGCAGCGAGAGTGGTGGATGAGGCGGCGGCGGCGAGGACAGTTGGAGAGCCAGAGTGGGGAGATTGGCTTACTCAGGCACAACAGGACCTGCACGCAATCTACCCGGACCGCGAGCATGCGAAGGCGGCGGCAGAGACGACACCGCAGACGGTGCCGCGTCAATCCCGCTCTAGCAGCGCGTCAAGCGCGGTGGCGTCCACCGCGCCGGTCAATGTCGTGTCCAGTCTCAAGATCATCGTGGTCGGCGACTCCGGCGTCGGCAAGTCGGCGCTCGTGCGCAGGTTTGCCAAGGATGTGTTCGACGACGCCCACGGACCCACGATCGGCCTCGACGTCGAGTCCGCCACGGTCGATCTCGGGCAGGCGGGGGGTGAGATCAAGCTCGACCTCTGGGACAGCGCGGGGCAGGAGCGCTTCGCACCGCTGCTCAAGAGCTACTATCGTGGAGCAGGGGGTGTCATCTACGTCTTTGACTTGACGTCGGCAGTGTCACTCCAGCGGATTGAGGACTACTGGACGGGGCAGGTTGCCTCCAATCGTGCCGACGAAGCGACTGCGCTGCTTGTGGGGTCCAAGGCCGACGCCTCGCCGGCCCCGGGCTTGAGCGACAAGGCGCGAGGCCTCGCCGACCGGCTCGGCCTGCCGTACATCGAGGTGTCGTCAAAGACGGGCGAGCACGTGTCTGACGCCTTCCATCTCCTCGCCATGGCGATGCTGAACAAGCGGCTCGAGGAGGATCCCCGCAACCCTCGAGCCATGACGGTCAGCAACAAGAGTGGCCAGAACGCTAGTCCGGACACGCGCGGCACGGTCAGCCTTGCCGCCCCGCTTGATAGCAGCGCAAAGCCGGGCAAAAAGGGGAGCTGCGCCTGCGGCTAGGTCGTAGGTGATCGCGAACGGGTGGTAATCGCTGATTCGCACGGAAGCACTTTTTGATCGTACACGCATACACGTGCATTGGCAGGTAGAGAGAGAGTCACAGAGAGAGAGAGCGAGGAAGAGAGAGAGAGAGAGAGAGAGAGAGAGAGAGAGAGAGAGAGAGAGAGGAGAGAGACTGAGAGAGACCCTGTGAGAGAGATTGGTCCCCACGCTGTGGTTTACCAATTCAGATGATGGGTTGCATCTAGATATACCGAACTTTTTTGTCAACTCGCGAGATAGAGAGGACGTACATTAAATCACATACGATTTACGAAAGCCGTGCGGCTTTACTCCACGGTCCACGCGGTGGCGGCGCCGAGACCCGCGAGAGCTGCGACCCCCGCCCCCCCGTGTATCGGGTGTGTTGATGAGTCACAGGCTAGTGACTGCGTGCGAAATCGCGACTTTTCCCTCGCACCGTGTCTCTCCGTACATTGAAGGAGAGCTCTGCTCGCGGACGGAGGCGGAGAGGCGGCGGATTCGGCGGTCGGGTGAGGACGACGTGACCCATACAGAGCCGACGCTCCTTACACGCACAACGTTCTTTGGAGCAGGCGTGATCAGGGCACTCTCAGCTTGACGTCGCCGTTCACGATTGCCTGGCAGGCCAGCCGGTAGTTGTCTGGCTTCTTCTTGAGCATCCTCTTCTCGGCGTCGGTGAAGGGGGAGAGGTTTTCCATCCCCTCGAGCACCTCGACCTGGCAGGACAGGCACTGGCCCGCGCCGCCGCAGTTGGTCACCTTGGCCATGCCGCGGTACAGCTCCGACTGCGAGGCGAGCACCGCGCTGCGCAGCACGGCGCCGCGCTCCGCGGGCCCCGAGTTGCCGCCCTCAATCTCGAGAAAGGGGATTACCTTCTCCTCGCGCACGATGACATTGCGCAGCAGCTGCAGCTCGACCTCGGCGGGCGCGTCCCCGAGCAGACCCATCACCTGCGAGCGAGCCGAGGGGCCGCTCAGCTGCCGGACCCGCCCTCCTCCTCTTCCCGCCGACACCGGGCTCGCACCGAATCAAAGTCGGACCCGGACACGTCCGTGCCGCACACGCTGCGCAGGCGGTCGCCAACCTTGACGAGGCCCGTCTCCATCGCCGAGCCTCCCTCCACCAGCTCGACCACCTTGACACCGCCGCCGCTCACCTCCTCCAGAGCCGTCCCGAGCGGCTTGGCGAGCGAGACGCTCACCTCTCTGCTGCGCCGATAGTAGTCGTACTTGTCGTCCGACTTGATGGGCGTGCACGCCAGCGGCGCCGGCGCGCGGCGGTCTCGTATCCGCGACGGCGGAGACTGCGGGGCCAGGCCACTCGCGAGAAGAAGACCGAGCAAACCGACTGCCATTTGCGGGAAGATTCCGAATTTCGAGGTCTTTTTTTGAGTGTGTGTGTGTGTGTCTCACTCACACACAGGCGACAGAAGACTGCTAAGTGGTGTTCAACACCGTGTCAAACGCCACTCACGTCTGAGTTTAATGGGGAATTCGTGAAACCAAGATTCACACCGAGCATTTCTAGAATTCTAGGGGGGGCGACAGGGAGGATGTGGCCTTGAGTTATGTGTACGCCCAACTCAGGGTGTGTGGCAGCCAGCTGGCTGTGTGTCTTGTGAGCCTGTTTGTGTCTGTGTGTCGCTCGTGCGTGCCGTCATCATCTGTCTAGCGTCCACCCCGATACCGCGTTGGGGGGGAGAGAGAGAGAGAGATTGTTTGTCCGCGTTGGTGTCCAGTCCGGAGCCTGGCTGTTCTTCCTTTCTACCTAACCTAACCCTCTAGGTGTTTGCTAGGTCGAGAGAGAGAGTTTTATTAGGTCGAAAGAAAGAAAGAAAGAAAAACAGCCAAGGAGCGGGATCAGGGATGGGAGGACGGCACGCCGCCACGACACAGGGATTTCACGGGAAGGAAGGTGTGTTGCTAAGCCGTCGCCCACCCTTGGGTTAGGTTAAGGTTAGGTAGAAAGGTGAAGAACAGTCAGCCTCGGACTGGACACCAACGCGGTATGGGAGAGAGAGAGAGAGATTTGTTTGTCGGTATGGGTGGATGGACCCTTGGGCGTCTGTCTGCTTCCAGTCTTCCTCTGATCTCTTTTCGCAGTCGCTCGCCGATTTTCGCTGCAACCTTCCTGCCACCTGCGGTAGTCTCGTCGGTCGTCGTTCTCCCTCGTGTCGCTTCATCCTCTGTCGCGTCGCTAACTCCCGGATTTTCTCTTTTGCAGCGCGGTCTCTTGTGTCCAGGAGGTCAGTGGCGATGTCGGCGGCGTTTGGCCGCCGGTTGTTGCCTCGGCTCGGCCTCGGCCGGTCGATCGCGCCGCACACCGCGCCGCTCGGCCGGCCGCTGTGCCGCCGTGCGCTCTCGACGGGAGGCACCGACGCCGAGGCCGGCGCCCGCTACCTCGCTGAGAATGCAAAGCGCGACGGCGTCGTCGTCACCGCGTCTGGCCTGCAGTACCGGGTGGTGGCGTCCGGCCCACCGGAGAGTCCGCACCCGCTCGTCTCGTCGGCGTGCGTCTGCCACTACCGCGGCAGCCTGGTCGACGGCACCGAGTTCGACTCGTCACACTCGAGGGGCGAGCCGGCTGTGTTTGCGCCGCAGCAGGTGATCGGCGGGTGGACCGAGGCGCTGCAGCTGATGCGTGCGGGCGACAAGTGGGAGCTCGCCATTCCTCCGGAGCTCGGCTACGGCGCGTACGGCATGCCTCCGCGCATCCCTCCCGACGCGGTGCTGCTGTTTGAGCTCGAGCTGCTCGAGGTCGATCCGCGCGGCTCACGGCTTCCGGGCCCGTCGCTGCCGCTGCTGCTGCTCGGCTTCGGCTGCTTTGGCCTCGCCATCTACACCCTCGCGCACGGCGTCTCGGGCATCGGCGGAGGCGGCGGAGGCGGCGGAGGAGGAGGGCGCGGCCCGAAGCTGCTGATGGAGGACGCGATGGCGCCGTCCAACCCACGCGTCTACTTCGATCTCGAGATCGGAGGGATCGACGCGGGGCGGGTCGAGTTCGAGCTCTTCGCCTCGGTCTGCCCAAAGACGGCCGAGAACTTCCGCGCCCTCTGCACCGGCGAGAAGGGCGTCGGGCGGCGCGGCGAGCCGCTCCCCCGCTCGGGACTCGGCGTCGCCACCGTGGCCCCCTCCGCTCACACCCTCTGGCCGTGGGGACAGGCAAGCCGCTCTCCTTCTCGGGCTCCTCCTTCCACCGCGTCATCCCCGGCTTCATGTGCCAGGGCGGCGACTTCACCAACGGCAACGGGACGGGCGGCGAGTCCATCTACGGCGAGAAGTTTGCAGACGAGTGGGAAGGCGGCTGGGTGGCGCACGACAGGCCCTTCCTCCTCTCGATGGCAAACGCGGGCCGCAACACAAACGGCTCACAGTTCTTCATCACCACCGCCCACACGCCGCACCTCGACCAGCGCCATGTCGTCTTCGGCCGCGTCGCCTCGGGAGACGCCGTCGTGAGAGCCGTCGAGGCGGTCGGCTCGTCGGGCGGAGCGCCGCGCCGGCCCGTCCGCATCTCGGCGTGCGGAGAGCTTCCCACGCAGTAGACCCACTAGGACACATGCACAAGCCCCCCGGTGCCGCGGTGCCCGGGTGCCAGCGGCCCGTCTTAACTGTCCTTTTATTGTGTTCGTGCGCGGGGGGGGGCCCGGGCCACACACACTCTCACACAGGGTCAGGGAGCGAGTGTCCGGCCGCCGCGCGCGAAGCCTGTATATAACAACTATGAAATGCCCACATTTTTCGGCCGAGTTACGATGCCAACTCACACGTATAGCCATATAGCCAACGTACTAGGGCCACTCGTACCCAGGGCTCAAGGTCAAGCTACAACGCCGGCGCGCCGCTCACACACAGCGAGCGCTGGCCGTCAATACTTGTGCGTGCGGTTTCAACACGATAGATGGCAGCTGGAGAAATGCCTTGAGGATCCGATTGATCGACTCGAGAACGGACGCTGTCTGGGTCAGGCCTCTCGCCTCTGCTGGGCCGTTAGCGGCTTCACCCCCGCGGCAGTCAGCGGCGCGGTTCTCCTCTCTGCGCCCCCGCGCTCGGCCTCTGCCGCCAGGGCGGGCAGCGAGTAGCACGAGCCGCGCCGCCGCTCCTGCCGGACATTCGGGCCGTCTGTCGCCTCTCCGCCGGGCGGACCGCCGGGCGGCGGCTGCGGCGGCGGCGCGTACGCCGAGCGGTTGGTGACACGAGGCCGCTGCATGATCGGAGGCGCCGGCACGCTGCACGCGGAAAACAGGAGGGGAGGCGGGCGGCTCAGTTCGAGTGGCCTCGCGCCGAGGGGGCGGTGAGTTGCTGGGTGGCCAGTGTGCTGGCTCGCCTGCGGGCGTCGAGCGCGCGGACACAGCTCGAGCATCCGCCGCAGCACACGCCGCACCCGAGGTCGCTCAGCCCGCAGCACAAGACCGTCCTCGCCGCCATGCTCAGGTAGACGCCGCAGTGCGCCGTAGAACTCGGGCGCGCGCACCGCGCGCACGAGAGCGGATTGCGGCAGCCTAGGTGCGCCGGGTGGTGCGGCGAGAAGGCACAGCCGTCGCAGACACGCATCGCGCTCGAGTTGTGCTGCCGGCCGACGCCGCTGACCACCTCCACGCGATGGGTCGAGCAGTCGCCGCAGAACACCCCGCCGCAGTCGCGGCAGTGGTGCGTCCACCGCAATAGGTGAAAGGGGCGGTGGCACTGCATGCAGTGCGACGAGAGCTCGTCCGGAAGCCACGGCTGCTGGGTGTAGCCCGAGTCGGTCGAGGCGAGCGACGAGTAGGACATCTCGTGCGCCCAGAAGGAGACGTCCGACTTGGGCACACGCTGGGAGGCACGGAGAGCGCCTGTGAGGCCCGTCGCCGGATGCGGCGGAAGCCCATCGGAGGCCGCCTGCATGAAGCCTCCTCGCGGCGACCGAGGCTTCGCTAGTGCGCAAAAGAATTTAAAGATGAAAGAATTTTACGCAAATTCGGCTAAGATGAGACAGGCCAACGGCCCTCACTCCGAAATAGGTGGCGTGGTGCTGGGCACGATACTCGAGTACGTGGCGACGCGAGGCGGCGGTGCGGTGCGGCGGCGGGCGGGCGACGCAGGGCGGGGCGGCGCGACCGCCTGCACCGCACCGGGTCTCTGGCCATTGGAGCAGTGCAGTGGTCGAGTCGCCCATGTCCCGACCAACACCCCGACCGGCGACGACGGAAATTACTCCGTGCCGGCGGCCCCGTCGGTGGCGGCGTCGATCGGATCGCGTCGCGCCGGCGGGGGTGGTGTGACCGAGCGGGCAATGGCTCCGCTGGCCGGCGCAGGGTTGCGCCAGCGGGGAACAGGTAAGTCAGGCGGCATCGACGCTGAACGGTCACGAAACCCGCCCCACCACACTGAAAGACCACCGGTCAGTTGACGACACACTCCCAGACGCCCGCCGATGAAGCCGGGTAGTGTGTATGGAGGAATGGTAAGGACCTCTCCGGATTGGTTCCCCGAGGGAGAGGCAGAGCCTCTGGCGCGGTGAGACCACCCGTAAGCTCTCAAGGCCGAACCCCCCTCTTCAGTTCAGATCACGAGAGCGGCAGCGGCGCGCGCGCACACTCAAAGACGCTGCCCCCTCACACACCCCACCGCACATCACACACCCCTCGTGGCCGTTCTTCAGTCTGCGGCCAGGGCGCGCTGCACCGGGCCAACCTGCGGCCGTCGCTACGAGCGGCGGAGCTCAACGCGGGGCAGCGCGCCGACGACGTCGAATGCGCCGCCGTGGCATCGCGGCGCCGACGACCAGGCTCAGAGGATGACCCCGGGTAAGCGTTCCCGTGCCTCGACAACTGCCGCTGGTAGGCGCGCCGCGCCAAGCCATGGCGGGCGCGCCGCGGCCGCGCACCCTTCGTCACAATGCCAACCGCGCGCGGCCGTTACCGGCAAGCACACGCCTCGACTCGGACACACTGTTCCGAGGCCAAGGGAGAGGGGTAGGCTTCTAGCCCGAGAGGGGAGCTTCCGAGACCCACTACATGACCACGCACACAACATCATCCCGCGGCCTGGCGGTCGGCGGGATTGCAACCAGTCTTCGCGTGCCGCCTCTGTCGTTCGACTCGGGCGCCTTGAGCGTCGGGGTGGCGAGCAGGGGACGCGGCTCTGAGCGCCCAGCCCCCAGCGACGCGTGCGTGCCGGATGGAGTCCGGCCGCGGGTGACTAGGGAGTCCGCTCAGGATGTGTGGCAGCAACGTTGGCTGAGTGTCTTGTCTTGTGGTTCTGTGTGTCGCTCCTGTGTGACCGTCACACCGCTCACCGGCCCGTCTTGCGTCCACCCATACCGCGTTGGTGTCCCAGTCGTGTTGGTCGGACTGTGATCTGTGTTTCGCCTTCCCATCATGCATCAATCAATCAAGACGACTGTCCTTTTGGTGTTTCTTTATTTCCACTGGGCATGGAATTGGCGCGCACTGGCACTAACCCAGGTAAGCAAAAGAAACAGCAGTTTTTAGCGCCCGGTTGACGTGGACTTTTTTCTGTTTATTTGACTTTTGTCTGGGTTCTCACACACACACCTTAAATTGTTAAAAGTCCTTATAGCAAGTTGTTGTTAGAGCTTAGTACCTTGTCTATCTCGAGAAGCGCTCTGCTCCAAAAGCGGACAGGAGCGCTATCTCCGAGGTTGTCTTTCTTTCTTTCTTTGCGGCTCCTATCTTCAGACTAGCCCCGTTGGCGTTGCACCCTGCTTGATCCGCCGGCCGCGGCGCAGCAGCCACACCGCGGCGACGAGAAGCGCGGCGGACGCGGCGCCCACGAAGCCCGTCAGCGGCAGGTCTGTCGGCGCCCGTGGCTCCACGATCATCGGCGCGCCTCCCTCCGCGCTGCGTGGCGTCGCCGCCGCCGTCTCGCCTGCGGCCCGCAGCGGCCACGGCCAGAGGAGCTCGAGGAGGATCGTGCGCCGCCGGTAGTCGTTGTCGGAGAGGAGGAGCAGCCGCACCCCGTCGGAGGAGGCCACGGCGGCGAGGCCCTCGAAGTTCTCCGTCGCGTGCAGGCGGGGCGAGAGGGTGAAGACCTCCTCCGGCTCGACCTGAGGGGCGGCGGGAGGGCCTCTGCCACTCCTCTCAAATGGCCACTCCACCTGAATGCCACTCGCCTCTCCGACGCCGGCCGACTCCTCTCCGCCACCCCGGCCCGCCAGGCGAAGCGGCTCGAGCAGCGTGCCCGCAGCCGCCCGCTCGAGCTCCCGCCTCCGCACTCGCGCCACCCGCAGCGTGTTTCCGACGCCCGGCTCGTACCTTGCGAGCAGGAGCAGCAAGTCCTCTCTCCCGACGGCCGCGGCTCCGGCCCCGCCTCGGCTGGGCAGCAGGGCCGCGTCGGCGACGCGGAAAGGGCTTCCGCGCAGCGCCACGCGCAGCTGCCACACCCGCCTGCGGGCGAGTCGGGGCGCCGCTGAGAGCGTGAGCAAGGTCGGCGTGCCCACCGGCCAGCAGCAGGCGCTCGCCGAACCTCCCCGCCGCCGGCTAGCTCGGCGACGAGAGCCGAGGTAGAGGCGTCTCCCGCCCGCGCCTCGCAGACCGCGAGGAGGTGCGTGGCGTTGAGCGACGCGAGCGCCTCGGTCCCGAGATTGTTGCCCGCTCCGCACAGCGCGGAGAGCCGCGCGTGCAGCAGCGGAGCGCCGACCAGAGGCGCCGCACCTCTGCCCGCCGGCAGAGCGGTGTACCGCCGCACCATCTGCACCCGCTCAAAGGAGATGAAGACTGCGTCGGGAGTGGCGACGGCGATGCCCTCTGCGTCCGTGATCCTCGTCGCGTCGGCCGCCGAGCCGGCGGGCAGGTGTCGGCCTGCGAGCGGGACGCCAAATTCGTCGGCGAGCGGCTCCGCTGTGGCGGTGCTCGTTTCTGGCGGCCAGTCCGGCAGCCGCACCGCCCAGCCGCGGTCGCTCACGGCGAGCAGGCCATCTCCTCCAAGGTGCGCCAGGCTCGAAAGGCCGCCGAAGAAGCTCGCGTTGCCCGCGAGCCGTGCACAGCGGACAAAGCGGACGCCGCCGCCGAGGCGGCAGTCGCCCTCGCACAGGGATACTGGCGACGCGCGGAGCTCGAAGCGTGTGGGCATGTGGAGCAAACGCCGAGGCTATCGAGCCTTTGTGCTGCGAGAAAACCTGACCCCGCTAGAAAAGAGGTTCGCTCTCATGTTTCCCTATCATACAAAGTAGCAGCCCAAAATCGCGGCGCCCCACTTCGATTTGGTCGATTTGGCGTCCCCCCGACCGCGCCCCCGCCCCTGCCTCCCGGGGGGGGGCCGGCCGACCGGGCCCAACCCGAAGCGCCCGGCCGCTCGGCGGCGCCGTTCGCGACCCCCAGCCGTGCGGCGCCCGGTCGCCCGCCGCAGCACCGAGCCCGACCGGCCCACGCGCACGGCCTGGCCTCGACCGCCACTCTCTGCGGCGGAATCGGCACCGTCGGCGCCCTCTGGATCCTCCTGGCACTCCTCGGCTTCCTCCCGACGGTCGGCGGCACCAACCCCGTGCGCTTTGAGTCAGACTCGATCCTCGGCATGCGCATTCAGAGCCACTGGTTCCCAACAACTGGACAGTACCTTGCGTATCAGCGGGACACGTACACGAATGTGACCGGCCGGGATCTGCAGCTCGAGGCGGGACGCACGACTTCCCTCTTCAAAAAATAAACCATGACCGAGACACTCGAGTCTCGACCTCGCCCGTACCAACATCGCGAGCGGCGTCAAGGAGGACGATTTGAAGCCGATCAAAGACCTGCTAAAGATGGCGGACCGTAGTCCGACGGACGTCGCCCAGACGTACATGCACGACCCGACCGCCCTCACCAAGGGAACGAGCTACCTCAGGAAATATGTCTTGAAGGCAAAACCAGAACACTCCGGCCGCTTCGTTCTCAACGACAGCGCTCGCACAAGGCCGTCCTCATGGCGGAGGTGCGATGACGTATTATAGACGTATTAGACTACATTTGGAGGCAGAAAATATTGCTGCAGGACACTGCGGGGGGCTCGTGTAGATTCAGAAAAAGTAAAATCGGGGGCGTTTGAGACGCTGATACCCTGTGCTGAAGACGGGCGCCTGCTTTCGCCTGCTTTCATGACGGTCCTGCTCGCGGCCCTCGCCGGGGCGGTGGGGTCGTTCGTGCACTACTCGTCGACTTTCCGAATCTTGGGACACCTGCCCGTCAACAACACCCGGTGGCAGGTGTACGGGCTGCAACTTTGCAGCGACGAGGCTTGCGAGTCGCACGTTGATCTCACGCAGGCTCTGAACTGTACGGAAAATAAGGAGTGTACGTCGGGGATGTGTACGAGCTACTCGGAAAAGTTCAAAGGGTTGAGTGGCAAGCAAAACTGCTTCAGCGAGGGGAATTGCATCACCGACGTGTACACCTGGCCCACGACGTGGCGCCACGACGATGCACGCGTCTTCTTGGGGGAGAGTGCGGCTGTGCCCTTTAACTGCCTCTCGCTCGACAAGGGGACGGACTCGGGGGCGCCGGTCCCGGACAGCGAGAATTCGACAGCGTGGTTCGAGGTCAGCTTCCCGAGGACCGTCGGGGTCGCCGCCGTCCGGCTCTTCCAGGGGTCTGACCCCAACAGCGCCATTCTCGTGAAGCTCGCGATCCGCGGAGAGGGCGGCGCGTTCTACCTCGCTGGCGAGGCGCCCGCGCGTCAGTGCCCGACTACGGCGGCTGCAGACAGTTGCTGCGAGGTGTCCCCGGGCACTCTCGTCCTCTCGCACGTTCATAGCGCACTCACTTTCCCTCAAGCGCAACACACTCACGGTTCATTAGCGCACTCACTATCTCACTCTCCACACTCTCCTCCTAGGAAGGAGACAGCCCCTCCGCGCCCTTCTCAGGGAAGGACATGGGAGACGTGCAATCACACAACTTTCCTCCAAGTCACGACGCCGGCGCCGCCACTGCCGCCACCGGCGCCGCCGCCTTCGCCGCCTGGGGCGCTGCCGGGCGGCGACGAACAGACCCAGGCAAGCGACAGCCCGAGACGACTGAGATTGTTTGAGATTTGCGCGTGATCCCCCCGAGAGACCCACGAGACCCTCCTCCCCCCTCCCCCCCCCTCCCCCCTCCCCTCCCCCCCCCTCCCCCCTTCCCCCCCTCTCTTCCCCACCCCCGCCCTCCCCCGCCCCCTCCGCCCCACGACCCGCACCGCTCACGAACCCGTCCCCCCCCGACCGCAGGCAATCCTCGGCAAAGAGGCGGACGACGACGTCGATTGGGCAATGGTCATCCCGCTCATCGTCCTCGCCATCCTCCTCATCGCCGCGCTGCTCTTCTTCCTCTGGCTCGCGTACCAACGCGGCTGGATCTTCGGCGACGGCGCGCCCCCCGCCTCCAAGCACGGGCTGGGCGAGCCCTCCAACTCCAACGCCTCCACCAACTCCAAGCCCTCCAAGCCCCGCGGGGGGCGGCAGCAGGAAGAGACCGCCGTCGGGCCAAGCGTGAGCCAGGCCAGGCCGCCCTTCAAGCTCGTCTCGCCGCCGGCCGGCCCGCACGCCGCCGAGCCCGGCCCATCCGAACCGCGGTGGTAGCGAAGGGGCTCTCGTCGCTGGCTCGTCAAGGCTCTCGCACTCCTCGGCGATCGAGCGCATCTAGGCGGTGCCCGCCTCACCCCCCCCCCCCCGTCGCCGCCGCCGCCGGAGCCCCCGCGTGCCGGCGCGCTATGACCGGTGTCGTGTGCGCACGCTCTTCCTCGCTCGCCTCCGCTTGTGCCCCCTCCGCTCTTGCTTCCCCCCCCCGCGTGGCTACTGCTCTGCTCGGTCGCTCGACGTGTAAACTCTCTCTTCT